TCCGCCTTAGCGCTCTGGCCTGTATTGTCTCTGATCAAAACCTACAAATTATATATAAATAAATACATGAATATATATTCTATACAAGGGCAAGGCAACATAAAAGAACACAGGAAAAATTGGTTTGTGTGTGGGCGGTGGGCAACGATCGTTTGAGCTCTCTGCTTTTTTTTTTGTAGAATTTACTGTAAAGAAGAAGAAAAAAAAGTTTTTTTATGATGCCATTGATGATTTTTTTTGTCTCCTCCTCAAGTCTGTTTTATCCTCCCACCATGTGCACATTCTATGCCAAAACCATTGAGTTCGGAAAGTCCATTCACGTTCTTTCACTTTACAAGAAAGGCTGTTTTTATTGCTTTATTTAACCTCGCCCTTTTGAAATCTGAAGATTTTGCGCCCCCTATTTCCGCTGGATTTTTGTTCACATCTTCTCTGCACTTTCACTCTTTTTTTTACACCCACTTCCCAACCGAAGTATCATTTTCTGTCACGCTATACATGTTTAAGGCTTTTTAAACTTTCTTACCCTCCAACTCCTACAGCCCCTTGTAGATTTTTTTTTTCTGCGGTGTTTCCTTTGTGACAAGGCTTCCTGTACACTGGCCTCTGCACACCTAAGTGTGTTTTAAACATTCTAATTAGTTAAGCCACTTCCCCATCACCCACCTCCGCCTTTTCTTACTTGCTTGTTTTTGGAGTTTTATTTTTATTGTAATTCCCGTCATAACCCTACCAACCCCAGCCCTCCCCTCCCATCGCTCCCCACTGAATTCAGAACAACCGTGTTGGTATGTTGACAAGTGAGGCATTGAGATGAATTGATTCATCTTCTGACTATGGAAATTTTTTTAAGAAAAGTATTAAAATGATATTTAAAAAAAATAATGGAGTGTTTGTGGGGTTTATTTGTCTTCTATATTGGTTAAATAATCGCTACGGTGGTTCTATCAATCAAGAGGCGATGCTGTTGGGGGGGAAAAAAACTTTACTCACTGAATGGAGTTAATCTTACACAAAGATTCTGACTTTACCGATTTAATATGGTTCAAGCTTTTTGTTCTAGTAAGTCTTAACTCGTAAATAGAATTACAGGCCTCTTATGAAACTGGTTCAAACCACTCTGTTTTGAGGGGCAGGGCCTTTCTGTCCCCTTAAAATGCTTTTCATCCCCATGATGAAATAGGCCAACGTTAAAATTTTAATGTCCTAAGAACAGTGTGATTAATATCACTGCACACTGTTTGCGACTCCTCAAGGAGGTATTAAGACAAACAACAGACATTGTTCAACTTTCACATTTGACATTGCCAGCGTCTCCTTACCACACTATAAAACTAGCCAACTGAAACTAAGAAATATGTATATTACGACAATTAAACAATTATAATCTTGTCACTTTACTGAGGTTTGCTTGGCAGTTTATTTTCTGAACCGACACCTCCCAAGAATGTCCTACAACGCCCCCTGGTGGAGGTATGCTTCCAACGTTTGAAAACTGATAACTCATCAGTGTATGATTTAAGACGTATTTCGATGAACTTCATTTCCGCTCCCACAAGTCCCAAACATTTCTGACCCACGAGGGAACAATTGTGAAACTAACCTACAGCTATAATAAGCGGTAACATGAGTGGAATCTCATAAAAGGAAGAGGACTCGTGAGACAAAAAGCTGAGAAACAGAACCGCTGTGCAGGATGTTCTTTTACAACCCGGGAGAGGATGTGGTGCTCTGCACTACCAGTTTCAAACCAGCCACGGTGTGCTTCAAAGAAGCCAACTGATCCTGCCGAAGGCCCCTGATCTCCCCGACCGTCATCTGAGAGGTTCAATACGAAGATAAGACATGGATGTGTAAATGCAAAAAAAAAAAAAGTGTCCTTTGGAGACTGTTGAAAACGCACTTGGAAAGGTTCCCCACTTCAAAGTCTCATTTCATGGCTTGCAACAAAAAAATTCAGGGGGTGAGCAAAGTGATTTGAGGAGTGAATTAGATGCATATCTCAAGAAACCACTGGAGTGTTGAACCAACACCTCTCTGACAGTGTTAGTCCAAAGTGAACATATGTTTGTGAAGGCAACCTTTTTTTTTCTCGATACAGCTCTCGCATTGGAATGTTGATCAGCATTGCTCCATCAACCACACGAGGCCTGCATCCATTCAAGAGTCTTAAGAGACGTGTGATGTCATCTTGAAAGAGTGAAAAGTATGCGGGGGGTTTACACACAAATGCTCACCAGCGCTGCACTTCTTCCCGTTGATGCCATTAGGAAGAGCTCGGGGGTGTGTGTGTGTGGGGGGGGGGGGGGTAAGTCAATGATGAAGGCAATCAAGACCCTCCCTAAAATCTATTCCAGATGACAATAAAGCAGTTCCGCATGTGATCCTCACACACACACAACACATAAGAGTCACACATTGCGCAAGAGGTTGTGTTCTTGTCCAAAAACAAAAAAAAAAATCTGAATGCACATGGTCTCCCACTCACACAACGCCCCAAGTCACCAGGCCTTCATCACACTTCTGCTTTTTATCAGTCTATGGATGCCCGACCACTTCCTCTTCAAAAGTACAAGAGGGGCACAATTTAAAACACACATACACTTTTGTCTAGATTGTAGTTAATTCTTCAGAGTATTTACCGGCATTGTCTTCATCTAAAGCCACTCTTCATCATCACAGTGTATCAAGTCAGCATGTTTTATACTCATGGCAATGAGGCAGTGTAACACAAACCTTATGAAAGTATTGCTTCGTATCGTTCGATGCAGAGACAGACTTAAGGGGCCACCACCACTTGTCACAGCACAAAAACTGTACATACATAGACATGTTTTTGAAATATTGGAGAACATGCGAGGTCCACACGGGAATTCTGGAGCCCGGATTCGAACCTCCAACCTCAGGACTGTAAAAGCAGGGATGCGAATCTCTCACTGTTGTTGTTATTGGATCCAAATCGGGCCACAGTCAGCCTACACCCCATAATGACTGAACTCCAGGGTAACTATTTGGACGTTGGAGTCCAGTCAAGTGTCAAGAGTAAGTGTACACTAAAACAAATGGTTTACAACTTCGAAGTAGTAGTTGCACAACCCGAGTGACCAAAGTGAAAATATCACTGCAAATGCCCGAAAATAAGTGAGACTGCCCCCCCCCCCCAAAACAAAAATATATCAGTCAAGGAAGAACAGCTCTGTTTTATTTTAATCTTAAGAAAAAAATAATTGGTAGGATGTACACTTACAAAGAAAAGATAGGCAGTCTTTTATACTGCAATTTTGTTAACAACCACTTTGTGAAGCTCATTATGGCCATCTAGAGGACTGGAGGTATATTTAAATCTGTTTTTTTTTTTTTTGGGGGGGGGGGGGGGGGAACAAAAGCATGACAAACACTGTACATTTTCTGCACACAAATTGTTTTCCCGCCCTTATTTTCCTCATTTGTGTGTTTCTGAAGATGAAAGACCCTTGCCATTGCTCACCGACAAAGCTGAGATGCCAACGGCGAGGAAAAGCAGATGGGATTGGATTTGTTTTTTTTTGTTTTTGGGTGGGGGGGGGGGTTCAGCCTTGCCAGAGGTCTGCTTACATTAAAAGAAGGCAACGATAATTTTACGTCTGGCTTGATTTGTAGTAATTAGTTAGTTTAGCTTGGAAAAACGCATTCGAGCTGTCAGCGGCTCATTGGTCATTGTGTCTGGACACAATCCTTTAAAAAAACTACAAAATGTGTAGTTATCAATCACATTCTATTGCTCATTACCACCATCTGCAGGATTGGCATGGATCGGTCTCAACTACAACTTTTAACCATTAATATAGCCAGTGTTGGAAAAAAAAACGGTGTTGTTTTTTTGTAATATGATCTTCTTTCCTAGTTCTAGTCAGCACTTGAATAGCAGTTTGACTTTTAAGCCATTTTTTCACCAATAAGTACTGTGTAATTTTATTTGTGGTGCTATAAAGTCTAATTTCCACCCCCATCTGCCAAATGAAGGATACCACTCGGCTATTGCAGGCATGAAGGCAGCCACTCAGCATCCCCTGTTGCCGGGGCGACATCTTGGGGAAACAAGCATGGGCACTGTGACGGCTGCAGTGCATAAACACATGCACACACACCACATCAGGAAAGTATACAGTTGTCACATCTTGTCACTCGCGAACCTCGGCGCCAGAAACAATCGTAAACAGGAAGTCATAACGGCATTTTCCTCACTGACACCCCCCTTGCTTTTTCTCACTTGTTCCACATCTGCTGTCTTTCTGGTATTTCCTCCTCGGCTTTCCCGTCATTGTCGTCATGACACCGTTGGCCTGCCACAAACACTCCGAACACCCATCGCATGTGTCACATTTAAGGTTCAACCCTTGGTCAGCTATGAAAAATAATTCAAATTTGATCCATCCATGTCAATGAGGGAATAAATTGTAGAACGATCCGAAGCATTCAATGACATGCTTTTGTACCCAATGAGGATGAGATCCACATACAAATTTTTGTAAAGGTCCCATGCCACCAAAATCCAATTTTCTCCAGGTCAAACATGTTTTAATGTGTTTACAAAACAAAACGGAAGATGCAGGCTGAAGTAGCTTCCACATTACAGCATTGAGTGGCCACGGCCACGGCCTTGAAAGCGGACACGGTGGCTTGATTTGTAATTTTTATTTTTTTCACGGTTGAAGCTAATTTTTTTTTCAAGTGGATTTTTTTTTAATCATTCATATTTGGCAGGATTGTTCAAATCCCTCTTATCTCTGACTTGTCAATGCTGATTACTTTTTCCACTTTACAGGGACTTCAATAATTCACCTCATTAGGAGCCAAACTGGAGGGTTGAACGCCCTCCCCCAAACTGTCAATCAATCCGAGTTCCTCTTATCATTGGCAGGTAGCCATCGCGTTTAGCCAATGGGCGAAATTTATAGGCGGAGTCCCAACACCGGCCAAGATGCCCCGCCGCCAAGCTCTTGGAGGAGGCGGGGGAGGCCGAGGCGGTGGCGTAGGAGGCGGTGGCGTAGGAGGCGCCCAGCGGCGCAGCCTGCCTCGCCCTTTCCGCCCCTCACAGCCCAAAGTCAGCGAGCACTGACACGGCGTGCAGGTAAAGACAAGAGTGCCGATACAAGTCCCGGAAGCAAGCAGGCAGGCAGGTTGGCCTGAGGACATTTGGGGCTTTCTGCCAACAAATTAAGAACGAGCCTCGCTGGCAGTGGAACAACATTTTATTTCCTTTATTTTATTTTATTTTTTTTGGTCGTGTTTGTGTTCACCTTTTGTGGGGCGTCGCATCTTGTACTTTGCGGGAGGTGACCCTCAGGTACTTTCAGGTATCTTGTTTGCTAGCTCGACGACTCCTGTGGATTTACTCGAAGAACAAGCTCAAAGTAACCAACGAAGGTAAGTGTAGTCCATTTATTTATGATGTGCGGGTTACAACTTAACATTTTTGGGTGAAAGTTAGCGTTTTATTGTCAGTTGCGGGGAGCGCTCGCGCGCGCGCGCGCTCGCTTTGTCGTGACCGTCAAAGGTGCTTCTGCACGCGGGGACGTCTGAAGTGCCTCCCGGTCTTGTCGAAGCACCAGCCCGGAGATGCCTATCTTGTCCAACACCTCCAGCTCACCACATCCCGCCAGCCACCGAAGCTGTGATTTCTTTCTTTTTTTTTCAAATCTCTTGATTTGCATCAGCCGTCGTCTTTATTGCTGTTTTGCATAATATTCTAGCCATTAAGAGCCCCATCCAGCTACACACAATGTAGTTGTCAACGTGGAAAAAGGACGGCAATCAGAAACCAGTTTATATATATATATATATATATATATATATATATATATATTACTCAATTTATTTTTAGGAAACAAATGTACAAAAAAAGCTTCCCCAACGTGATTAAAAGTGAAGACAATTTGCAATTTTGATATTTTAGGAAAGAACATGTAGTCAACATGCAAAACATGATTTCCCTTTGCAGACCACATGAAATTAGGCCAGTGGGGCCTCGAGTTTTGACACCTGTGCACTAAAATAACACCAAATGATCCATGAATTAATATGAAATATTTTATTCCATTTCACTTCAGCTAGAATTGTACCACATTCTGTCACCAGAGACCGCTTCCTAATCTATGAAGGAGTGTTAGGGCCACATGGACAAGAAAAAAACCCCATTACATTATAAGAATAAAGCACAATACAGCAGTCCCCTGTGAAACAAGTTTTATTTTGACCACACTCAAAACACTCCTCTTGATAATCGTCTTTAAATATTGAAATGAATGGAAATGCCATTGAGCTGTTCCATTTCGCCAATAGAACTATAATGAATAATTGTGAAGGGTATTACAATAATAGAAAATAGCACTTTACTTATTGAATATATATATATATATATATATATATATATATATATATATATGCCTGTTATTTATATTGTCTGTCTGCGTGTTTTGCGACACCCTTTGAGATCAAATCTATTTATGGCATTCTCTATTGTGTGTTGGCATGAAGATGGAGTATTTTGAGATAAAATTAAGTTATTGTGCCCTGCGACTGACTGGTGACCAGTTCAGGGTGTAGTTTGTCTTTTGGCCAAAGTCATCTGAAATATGCTCCAGCATCCAATGCAACTCTTGTAAGGATAAAGCAGTTCAGACAATGGATGGATGGATGAAGTTTTATGCTTGTTTTAAATACGCAACGTGTAATGGGCTCTTTGTCCATCTGTTGTGGATAATCCCGTTGACGTTTTTCTTCTATTACAGAGAGAAAAAAAAGTTATATTTTCGAAAAAGGTAGCATACTTTCTAGATAAAACCCTAATGTTTTTCAGGTTAGTTATACTGTTACAAGAATAATGATGGAAGGATTTCAACAATGTAGGGTCGCATCATTTCGAGATCATCATATTTTTTCAATTAAAATCAAAATTCACGAGGACGTTGTCTATTTCAAAGACCCTGAAATATTTTCCAGAAAGTAATCTGTAATCAAGAAAAAAAACCATCTATTTTTGAGATGAAAGAAGTAATAGTTAGGAAAGAGTCATATACTTCCAGGGAAGAAATGATTCAAGCCTAATCTTGTTATGAAAATAAAAGTTGTATATTTTTGTAGGGAAAAAAAAAAAAAAATATATATATATATATATATATATATATAAAAAATCATCTACCTTGCATATCCTTCCACTGGCAATACAATCAAGACCGTAATACATAAACTGGACTGATGGAAAAAAAAAGAGAGAGAGAAAACTTTTTATTTCAATCTACCTTTTTTTTTCGCACAATTATTTTTGTTGAATTACAATTTAATCAATCCATTGAATTGAAGAGCCTCCCCGCCAATAATACTAACCGGAATCACGTCACAATTTCTTCCATCAAAAGTACCCAAAACGGCACCTTGAAGGAGTCCATGTTTTCTTCTGTGTCAGGTCGTCACTTGATGCACTTTTTAGTGGCACCGGACATGAAAAGGAACAAGAAATGAAGAAAACATGGCAGTCTCTTTATTTTTTTTTCCATAGCTGTATATTCGCTTAATGGACTTCCCACGTTAGATGAGTGTTTGTGTTTTGCTCTACTCAAGTCTCCTGCTCTTGAAAAGGTTCCCTTTCAGTCAACCACAGAGGTTTCCATCCAACTTGTCCGTGACGTGTCGGTGCATGTGTCGGGGTGATTCAATGTCTCAAGTGTACAATAGTACAGATATTACTCGCTCAGAGTAGGAGATTCCTGCCTCTTGTGTTAGAGGGGCCACTTGGTCTGCAAAAACCCAACCAGAAGCTGAACAAAATTCCTTTTTTTTTTTTTTTTCCAACCAGGAACTCCAGCAAAGACATTTGAGTGCCTCTCCCTCTCAAGGTTTGGACACCCCTGGGGTGCAAATCTTTCCTGCTGAAAAGAATCGCTGGCTCGCGCAAACATTCAATACTTATTTTAATTTTTTTTTTTTTTACCCTCTAAGAATGGCGGGAGGAAGAGGAGACGTCGGGCGTGGCTGCCCTGCTAATGACGGGTTAGCGTTGAAACTGCTGTTTACTGTCAACGCTCGTTCCCTGCATGCGCAAGTGGATGCAAGCGATGCAGAAAAAAACGCTCAGTTGTGTGTAGCGCCACAGAAGTAGCACAGTGAATTTGGAAGCCAGCATTGTTTGGCACAGGAGGACAACTCTTTAAATGTTTGCTCTCGTGTCAGCAGGTTGGTCCAAGGTGCTACATAACAGCAGTCGCCATTGCAGATTGTGGAATTGTCCGCCAAGCGCTAGGCCGTGGTCTCGATCCGGGGCTGTAAAAGTGGACTTCACGTTGCTTTTAAATTGTCTGTTTCGAAGCATTGGTATTGAGAACGAAGATAATTCAACATTTTATTCACATAATTTTTTTTTTCAATTCATTTCAAACATTTTTATTGAACTGTACAAAAAAAAAAGCAGAACAATCAAAATAAAACAGTGAACAGCAGAAAAATGGACCCATCAGGGGATAATGAATATGCCTCAAAATGTAAACATCAATCTGAAGTTATGATCCTACATATTGGCGCTTGCATCATTGCAATTTGCAAATGTGGATGATGAAAAGATGATGCGACTGATTGCCGCTTGCATCCGGTGGCTGCCGGCCAGACACGGTATTAGCGGCTAAACTGCTGCTGTTTAACTTCTCTTGTCAAAATAGCTTTGTCTTTAGAAGAAGATGCCACGTCATGGCTGCCCATCAACTTAGGCAGGGGTGTCACTCATTTTTGTCGCTGGCCACATTATACTTACCGTTTACCTTGGAGGGCTGTGATGACTGAAACTATATGAAGAAATCAAGAATAACGTTTTATTCAATTATTGTTTGAGTAACTGTAATGAGGGGTTTGGTAACAAGAAACCGCTTACATTATGTCACTGATTTATTACATCTGAAAATTAGAAATTTTGGTCCAGGTTTTAGCAAGCATTATGGAATTTGTCATCTGTGATTTGCTTTCATGGGCCACTTAAAATGATGCGGCGGGCCACATCTGGCCCCCGGGCCTTGAGTTTGACAAATGAACTAAGCGTTTCGCTGCACATTTGGTCATTGTCACTTCAACTTGCAAACCAAAGTTAGAAGGAAAAGCCGAACTGCAGTCACAATTCTCAATCCGGTACCGGTCCGCGGACCGGTGAATGGGGACCACCATTGCTCTTGGGTAATCATTTCCATGTTACTTGGCTTTATTTGCAAGCCTCATTCAAAATGATGTCAGATGGAAATTTGATCCGGTGATCTCAAAAGGAGGCCTGAGGTTTCGGTAAGATTGAAGCTTCGTGACACACAGCAGAAAAATGCATCCAAAAGAAGTGAGCCTTTAGTCCTCAATCTCACATGAGTGTCCTTTGCAAACCAAATGTACAAGTTCTCACATGTCATCACATAATATCTTGAATGTGAGCCACAGAAAGACGAAAACCAAGCTAGTCTTGAATTTGACATTAGTTCTCTTGGAAAGTGGAACGAGGTCCAGGGGAACCTTGATTTAATAGAACAACAACCAACGGAGCTCAGATTTTAATAGACAGAAAGAAGTCCATTCCACTCAAAACGCCCCTTCCAGAATACAAAAAGTACATGGTAGCTGTTGGAAGTCTCTTAGTTTCAGAATTGGCCGCAATTTGCCAAACCGCTTGTAAATGCCCCTGCGGCGCCATCAACAGAGACTGGTCACGTGTTTCTGTGTTGCAGTGCTCTTGTGTCATAGATAAGCAGGCTTCCAGTAGACTAGAGCAGGCTGAAAAAAAACAAACAAAAAAAAAAAAACCAAAACACAGTAACTTTCGCACCAAAAGCCATGTATGGAAATATGCGGTGGCCGTGTTAGCTGGGAGAGTCCCCTCAAATGTCACGGAAATCCTGACTGTTAGCTTAACATCCGTGCTAGCATGCAAGGCGCATGTTGTTTGTGTTGACATACTCGTGTCTATGAGTGTTGTTTTTACTGGAGCGAGTAGGGTAAACGGCTCTTGACCATTTTTGGCACAGTACGCTGTTGTTTTTGTAAAGCTCTTATCTGTGGTATCAAATGCTAACATAGGAGAATAATGTCCATTCTATCAGCGCTTTCTTTTTCACCTATGTCAAAAAAAACAAACCCAAAACAGTTTGAAGCCTTTTTTGCACCCTTTTTTCATTATTTCTTTACTATAATTTTGTTCTGTAACTTGTTGGGCTTTTTTTAAGCCTATAAAAAAGTACAAAACAATTTTGTGTTGTATTGGGTGTTTTTAGGCTTCAGAAAAAAAAAACCAAAACATAGTTCGATGTAACGGACAGTCGGCTCTAACTGCGGAGCCCTTTCTCAATTAGTCCATTAAATCAAGGTTCTATTTTGGTTGTTCTCTTTGTGCGCAAAACGCAAGCCCCATCGCTACGTCACTGTATTTTGCTCTGATCTGTTTGCTGACTGTAAAATGGTGTCTGATGATATAAAGTGAAGCACCTGTCAGAAAATGTGACAACAACAACTCTTGTTTGGAAATTGGTGGAAGGTGATTAGTCATACAGTTGTGCTCTCAACAATAGCAATGTGGTTTTTTTTTTGGGGGGGGGTGGGGGGATAAAGCTCAAAAGCATTTGAGTGGCATTCTATATAAACCAAAATCCGCCCGTTTCTCTCTCAGGGTAACATGGAAGTGTTGATTCATGCTTTTATTTCCTGTTGCTTCGATTATTGTAATGCCCTGCTCTCTTGTCTTCCTCAAAAGAGTATTTCAACCTTACGACTCCAGAACTCAGCCGCACGAGTCCTGACAAGGTCCAGAGGGCGGGAACACATTAGAGCAGTTTGAAAGTCACTGCGTTGGCTCCCCGTCTGTTTCAGCATTGAATTGAAGGAGCTTTGATTAGTTTTTAACTGTCTTAACGGTCTTGGGCCACCTTATTTATCCAACCCTCCTTTTATCATATCTACCCTGGCGGATCCTGAGGTCCTCTTAATTATTCCTCGGGTGAGACCCAGAACGCATGGCAAGCCTGCATTCAGCCATTTTGGATGGAATAGCCTGCCAAAGGACATCAGGTCCGGAGAGACTGTTGATGTTTTTTCAGTGGAGGCTTAGGCCACATCTTTTTAGCTTGGCTTTGAATAACTTAATATATTTAATACTTTTAATTCAAGTCTTTTTTTTTTTTTTTTTTGCGGCAGTGTTTCCTCACAGAATGCCTCGATGCCTCGTATGGTTTTTCTGTGCCTTGCCATTTTTTAAAAATATAATTTATCAGGTGTATTGGAGGGGACCTGTTTTTATGTTGTATTTTGATGAATGAAAAGTGCCACGTAATTTAAGTTTGATTGATTGACGATTTTGCTGTGAATCGCCGATGTATAATATTTAATTTCTGATGGCGGTTGCACATGAGTTGACCAACTCTGTGAACCTGTGAAGTACTCCAGTACAGAAAAATTGTTTGGTGTTTCTTTAAAAAAAAAAAAAAAAAAATTAAGCGATTTTTCTGATGTTAACTATCCCTGACTACATTTGAAGGTGACGCCATAAAAAAAAAAAAAATAATGGCTTATGACAAAACTCTTTACATTCCTTCGTCTTGATTTTGTTGAAAGACTGGCTTCTGCTGTGCTTCTCTTATAACTTATGTCAACACTCCACTCGAGATGAGATGACATATAAAGGTTAGTTCACTGGTATTTCTTGATGTAATCAGCATTTAAGGTTCCGAGTTCAAATATCAGCACACGCGCTGCGGGGAAGGATGGCTCAAACCTTCGCTTAGTGACGAACGCATCAGTGGAAATGTTTGCAGTGTCTCGGGCGCCTTTTTTTTTTTTTTTTTTTTTTTTCGACATATCCGCCACGCAAAACGTAAATCCTGTTAGTGTAAGCAGCACTCGAAACTCTACACTGCTGCAAGCAGGAGAGTGGAGGAACCAACTTGAGTGCGTTGAAAAGCAACAGACTGTGTCAGCTGATTACAGTTGTACTCGTGTACTCCCTTTTCCAGTGCAGTTGACACAAGGGACTGTTTTCACAACCAGGCGACAGTTGTGTGTAATAACCTGGGCAAAAAAATAATAATTGCGCCCAATCACTGTTTTCACAGACTAAGGGACGGGTTTATCTTGACAGGTTGTACAAAAAAGTCTGAAGCATCTATGCCTGAACCGAAAGAACGAAAGCTGCCATTTTAGGTTTTAACCATTGCGAGCAAAGTCGTACTTGGCCCAAATGAGCCTTAATCAGACGCAGGTATCATCGAATAGTGTTTCCCCAGCCCTTATTGATCCAAGGCACACATTTTGTTTTGGAAAAAATTCACACACACCACCAAACTAAAATGTTAAAAAAAAAGTGTATGCTTCAAATGTTCTCTGCCGACAAAATATTTGTCAGGAATGAATCGACGTCTGATCAGAGGTTAACTGCAAATCGTTCATTGTCTCCCGGCGAGCGGCGTACAAGACTTGAGAGCGGACCCTTGGCTCAAAACAAAACAGGCCAAAGTCGCACGGTGTATGCCCAGATTTTGTTCTATCCGGTCGTATTTCATCACTGTGTTTACTAGCCCAAAGGTGGGCTAACAAAAAACAAAACAGTTGTACAGTATTTTTATGCCGTTTTTGATTTTAGGGGAATTCATCACATTCTTTCTGAACTGTTTCAAGTTTGCGGCCTTAAACTGCCTCTCCCGCTCTACATTTTTATTTTTTATTTTTTTCGATTTTGGCATCTTCTTCTGCGCAACCCTCAGTAAGGAGAGTGGGTCATTGGGGGTGTGTGCGCGTGTGCATGCGTGTGTGTTTGTGTGTGAATGTTTGGATTGAGATTGTGTTTCATAGCTGCATTGTGTAATTGCGAGGTGTGTCTCCGCCGTGGCCTCTCTGCCGTCTCCATTGTGGAGACGCGGCAAAATGGCGCGTGTGAGGGGGGAGTGATGGTGACTAGAAAGGAAGCCTCTCGCAGGTTAGTTGTCGCTAACACCAGAAAGTGAGAGAGACAGGTTGATGTTCAAAGTTTGCAGCTCAAACACAAGTTGGCTCTCGTGCTGACTTACTGTGTGCAAAAGTAATCCGGTCACAGTCGTTAAATGTTATTTGTCGAGTGAAAGCTCAATGGAAACTAAATCAGTTCCAACGGGCTTGTCCACCTCAAAATGTGATTAATTAAAAAAAAAAAATTGGCAAGTAAATATTTTGAGGCTTCAAAATCATTCTTATGAAATTGATCAGTGATCAATGGCGTGTGTTTGTGTGTCCCGCAGACGAGCATCGTCACCCGTGCAGCCGACGGCATGCTGCCCTCCAGGCCGTCAGGGAGAGGGCCAGTCTGAATGGCGACCTAGCGCCGCCAGTCTTCCCCGCCGTTTGAAAGGCACCCCTACCTTGCCATCTCGCCTCCGTCCTCCGAGCCCAGCCTCCGCCCAACCCCTCCCCGGCGCCGCCATGGATATTCAGACAGACGACACCGAGGGATGCTACCTGAACCGCAGCGTCAAATTTTTCTACGAGAAAAGCGGCAAGAACATCAGCGACCACTGGAGCCGCCGTGACTACGTCATCGTCTCGCTGGGGATGACCGTCTGCTTCATCGTCATTTTCTCCAACCTGCTTGTCATTGGGGCCATTTTAAAAAACCGACGCTTCCATTTCCCCATCTATTACTTGTTGGGGAACTTGGCTCTGGCAGACCTCTTCTCAGGTACGTCAACTGCTAACGTGTTTTTTTGTTTGTTTTTTTTTTTTCGCATTAGACCAGTGGTTCTTAAGCTTGTTAGAGGTACCGAACCCAACCAGTTCATATGCACATTCGCCGAACCCTTCATTAGTGAAAAATAAAAATGGCATTTTTTTTCCAAAGTCAAGGCATAAAAAACTCATTTATTAAAAACAGGAAAAAAGTCAATAAAATTTCAAGACATAAGTCTTGTTTTTTTGTTCGTTTTTTTTTTTTTAAATTGTATGGCAGAGGCTTCGTCGAACCCCTGAGACTGCTTCGCCGAACCCTTAGGGTTCGATTGAACACAGGTTAAGAACCACTGCATTAGACGATCATCAACTAATTCCCTTGGTTGACTAAGGGTAAAATAAACTTTATTTTTGTACACTTTTTGTTTAATGGAATTGTTCTGACCTCCAGGTTCAGTGACTGTGCTGCATTGTGCAGAATGTTTCCTCGATTTGCCGTTGCTGCACTTCCCAAAGTTGACCTCGTGTTGGACTTCCGTTTGAATGACTCAACAGCAATTGAGTTTTTACTCAATGTCTTCAAGACACAGTCGACAATCCGATCCTTCAAATTCTTAATGAAACAAAAAAAGCAGCGTGCCGTACAACCAAAGATTGTGTTGGCCTGTGTTTGGTTTTATAAAAATGTTACATTAACTGCCGTCGCAAAACCGTCAGTGCATAACAACGGACAAACCAAAACAAACGTAGGACTATAAAAATGAATTGACTTGGTATCAACTATGCGAGGAAAGATAAGAGAACTTTTTTTTTAACCTCATCAAAGGTTCAACTCCCAAAAAAATCCAGAATCTCTGTGCCTCTCATTTCAAATAGTTCCTGCAAAAGTTGGAGGTGAGACGCTTGTTGACCGCGCATGTGCCCCATGCAGCAGCACCCAAGGAAGTTTCAGTTGACAGTTTGCCTGACAAATGCACTGCAGCACCTAAGACGCTCCTTGCGTGTGTCTCTGTGTGGTCTTTCCACTGGAGAACATTAGTCACACTGCCGCGGCTTGTTGCCTTCAAGGGGCTCGTCCTCGCCGCTGTTGTGTCAAACCAAAAGAATCACACTCAGTAGCTTTGTGGATTTAAAATGTGACTCGCAAGACGTCGGCAGCGAGGACACGATATCTGATGATGGGATGGTCATATGGGGGGAAATAAATGATTTGTAATTTTATAAAATATCATTGATAGAATAGGAGAAACTCAGTGTCCTTGATTCCCGTCTCAATGCCTGGATTGCGTTCGGTACAGCAAAGCGCTATCATTCTGTCGTATGAATGGCAACAGGTGCCGTTTTGATATGTCTCTAGACATGGAGAAAACAATAAATAATGGCAGTGGATGGCAACACACATAAGGGTCCATTGTCATGGTTGATGCACAACTGTGACATTAAGATTGATGAATATAAATGAAAACATTTGAATAGCCGTCTTGGATTGGTCTAAAAAAATTTGGGAATCACAGTCCAACTCCGGCGGCTCGGTGGTCCAGTGGTTAGCGCGTGGCTTTTCTCCGGGTATTCCGGTTTCCTCCCACATTCCAAAAACATGCATGGCAGGCTGATTGAACAGCGCGAATGGTTGTTCGTCTCTGTATGCCCTGCGATTTGGCTGGCAACCGGTTCAGGGTGTCCCCCCGCTTACTGTCCGAAGACAGCTAGGATAGTTCTCCAGTACCCCCCGTGACCCTTGTGAGGATAAAGCGGTTCGGAAAATGGATGGATGGATGTTGAATCGACAACGCGAACCCTGTGTCGACCTCAAATGCGTCTGCTTCTGCTTTGCTTCACAGGTGTCTCCTACCTCCACTTGATGTTCCACACGGGCCCGTGGACGATCAAGCTGTCCAAGTACCAGTGGTTCGTGCGCCAGGGGCTGATCGACACCAGCCTGACCGCATCCGTCCTCAACCTGTTAGCCGTGGCCGTGGAGCGCCACCAGACCATCTTCAACATGCAGCTCCACAGCAAGATGAGCACCCGGCGCGTTTTTGTCATCATGATCTTCATCTGGCTGGTGGCCATCGTCATGGGCCTGGTGCCCACCATGGGATGGCACTGCCTGTGCGACCTGGACAAGTGCTCCACCATGGCGCCGCTCTACAGCCGCAGCTACCTGGTGTTCTGGGCGCTCCTCAACCTGCTGACTTTCTCCATCATGGTGGCCGTCTACACTCGCATCTTCTTGTACGTGAGGCACAAGAGCAAGCAGATGTCGCAGCACACCACGCAGATGAGACATCGGGAGACGGTGCTCAACCTGATGAAGACCGTCTCCATGATCTTAGGTGAGGCTCCTTTTCAGCGCATGTAAATTATTCCTTCATTTGCGAACCTCAATGGAGATTCCAGTCTCACTATACATCACGATTGCAAAGAGGAGGGGCCTCAGAACAGATCCCAGTTGGAGTCCCGCCGCCACCTTAAATTTCTTCCGTCACACCTCAAGCACCCCTCACCACTCTTCTTCTGTCCTATTCTAAAATTCTTCTCTGCCACTCCAGACTTCCTCGTACAGTACTAAAGTCACTCTCTGGCTTTCTCTAGATCAGTGATGGGCAACTGGCAGCCTGTGGCCGCGTCACACACTTAAGAGCCCACTTGATTAAATTACTTTTTTTTTTTTTAAATGTAGTTGTAGTGAATGCTTTAAGGAAAGGACTCAATGCATCACTGTAATTGATAAACACTCTTCATATTTTCTTCATTGTAACTAATATTCATTTTTATGTGTTTGCTAAAAAATACACGAGAACCTCAAAAAAAATTAATTAATCGCTCTTGTAAAATTGAGGAGAGAAACAAAATCGTTGAGCCCTGCCGTGTCCCCTGCTTTAGCCAACTGCTTGCTGCGCCTAGCATGCCTGCTCTTGGTATGCCTCCACTTGTTCATCCCGAATCTCTCGACACGCACGCACACACACACACACACACACACTCCCTCACTCCCCCCCACCTTCACAACTCCCCTTGCGTTCCATAGTAGAACAATCCCAAAGTACCTCCCCACCCTGCTCCTTAAACTGTGTCCGAGACCCCCCCCCTTCTGTTTTGCTTTTCCAACACGACAATAAATTCCTCAAGCTGCCCCAAACCCCATTTGTCTTTTCTGGCGTCGCTCAGCAGCGAGCGCCTGCCACCTCTGGCATGTGAGGGAGGCCAGGAAAACCCTGGCGTGCCTTGACAAGGAGCCGCATACTTGAGTTACTATGACAGAGCAAAGTGTGTGCGTGTGTGTGTTGTTTGGTGTATCCCGGGGTTGAACCATCTCAAAGTTGACATCTGGTGTGTGACACTGGAATTAGTCCTTGGCCTCACGCGTTCCTCGCATTGCTCGCATCACACTTTACGCCGTAGCGTGCGCACATTGTTATCAATTCGCCGAAAGGATTCCTGAGCTGCCCAATCAAGTGTTATGATAATGAAATGTGATCATGCAGACTAAACGGCGTGTGTGTGTGTGCGTGCGTGCATGTGTGAGAGGAATTTACAGTACATTCCCGTTCTCCCTGTAGGACCTCCTGCTTCGGACATTCTTCGGCACGTCCATCTGTTTTCTTGTTTCGTGTACCGGCACAATTGTATATTTATTCTTTTCCATTATCTCCACCGAGATGAGTTTTTGTTCCTTTCCTGACCCGAATTTCTAGGAAATTGGCCCGGTACAAATTTCATGAATAAATACGATGGAATCAACACCTTCTTGCTTTTTATTAATATTGAATAGTCCATATTTTGGTTTTACTGACTTCAACCGATCACTCATCATCACTGATATGATTACTACGCTGCACATGGTGATTTCATGCTGCAAAACAAAGGAACATGAAGTAATGTAAACTAATCATTGTCACTTAATGTACTTCATAATGAAAATACAGGGTCAGTGCCGGTTGTGGTCGGGCCACCAAGAGCAATCACGGCCAATTCCAGTTGAACTTTGGTATGGTTCACTAAAGCTCAGTCGTGTGAAATCCAAAGCAATAACTTGAACAAGAAATAATGTAAATCCTATTTATCCGTTCCAGACAAGCAGATATAGAACTATAGTTTAAAATTCAAAAACATTGGGAAATGACTGTCAACAACTAATAAGTGAATGACGGTTTAACATCACTTTTACCGTGATTGAAGCCTCTTGATGGCGGAGAGACAGGGGCTATTTTCCAAGTTCTTTCTTGAATTTGAGAGTAAATTAAAAATAAAAGCATGGCAGTCTAACAGCTTCACTGCACTTTATATCTTTAATCGTCCCCTTCAAACTGTTTAGTGCCAGTTTATTGATTGAGGTGGGCAAATAAGCCAGGATGTCTTCGTACAGTCGAATGCATGCTTTTGTTTTGAAGGTCTGACGATTGACTGGATGTGTTGCGCAGATGTTGCGAAGCAGACCGGGAGGTTTATTGCTTGTTGTTCATAAAAGCACTCAATGTGGAATACGCCCTGCCATCAGTTGAAAGCTTTATTAACAAGTTATGAAATGCCTCAGAGGAACACCGGGGTTATGATACAGGGTAGGTTACAGGGATTGTTAGTTTTTATTTTGTTTTCACTTTTTTTTTTAAGTTATTTATTTGTTGGTTTTTTTTTCTTTTTTTCCCTCAAAAGCTTTCAGTTTTTTTTTTTTTTTTACAATTTAGCATGAGTGTTTTTATATCATACTCGTCAGGTGCAAGATTTAAAATAAAAATCACAAAGATTTAAAAAAAAAAAGTCACTAAATATAAGTCCACTACAATTCACAAACGACTGTTCAAACTTTTTCGTTACGGGCCTTACTTAAACAAATACGGAAATAAACACATTTAAAATTAACCCTGAAAGCTAATGTACAATACTTTTTTAAAATTAATTGTCAAATATGAAAACAAAGGACATTTTTGCTGTAACCATAGCTTTATCAACTTAAAACGTAGTTTCAATTATCATAGTTCTCTTTTTTTTATTTTTTTTTTAAACAAGCAATTTTCATTCAATTTTATTCTTTTTTTAAATATTTTTCCAGATTTAGTCAGTATGTTAACCTTCGTTAAATATAATAATGCGAATGAACATGCATGGATTCTGAGTAATGAAAGGCGGCGTCCCGATATTTTACCGGCAAGCTTTTATTTATAATAAATAAATAGATAAATTGGGCCTACAATGTAAATCGATCCTTGGTGAAGTGACGCAGCCTCGCTCTGCCTCCCTCTCCAGGCTGGTTTGTGATCTGCTGGACTCCCGGCCTGGTGGTGCTGCTGCTGGACGGCCTGGGCTGCGACAAGTGCAAAGTGCTGCGCTACGAGAAGTACTGCCTGGTACTGGCCGAGTGCAACTCCCTGGTCAACCCCATCATCTACTCCTTCCGGGACAAGGACATGCGGAGGACCTTCAGGGAGATCCTGTGCTGCCTGTGCCAGCGCGGCGGCGACAAGTCGGGCGTGTCCGGCGTGAACTTTAACACCCTGGACCACGAGGTACTGTCTGAGAGCAACGGAACCGATGTCACCAGTCTCAAACAAAACACCCACTAAGCCCCTCCCCGCTGACCGGGGATGACTGTATGCTCACCTCGCGCCTTTTCGGGAACCACCAAACGGGCTTGTCACATTTTTCCCTCATTATTTTCAGATTTTCTTGAAACCATGTCAAAGTAACAGAATGCAGACCAAAAAAAAAAAAAAAGGTTCACACATTTGAGCGCTTTCCTCAACAAGTCCAGCACCGGGGAAAGAATATTCATCTTATCTACACATTCCTCACATTTTTGTGTTTTTGAAGTCCATATCATTTGATCCCTGTCAGTGTAGCCCATCTAGCGAGGATCTTAATTAGTTATTGGTTACTTTTCATGTACTTTTGATGTACATATCCAGTTACACAATGCTTACAAAACCTGAAATAACCCACACACCAAAACTGTGTGTCAAGTCAGTGTCAGTTAGCGTCATAAAAAAAAAGAGAGAGATAATGGATGCCGACAATACAGAAGTAAAGAAAATGACGAAATATCAAATTTGAGCTGTAACAAACTTTTTTTTTTTATGATTTGCTGAATTTGTTTTCAACAAACAAACAAAAAAGTGCTTTAATTGCCATTCCCTTATTCAAAAAACGAGACCGTATTTCAAATTAATAGTGCGGAAAATGCACAAACTATTATTGATTCCGTTATTGATTTCGTCTGTAACATGCCAGAAAAGATACAAAACTGTTGATCCTGCTTTTCCAAAGTACTTTTGTCAAAGCAAATTCTGAAATATCTGAGAGTATGTTTGTCAGAAGGCTGAAATTCCGAGGATTTGAGCAATTTTAAATTTCAAAAAAGGTCTCAACCATGACTCATTTCTCAAAAATAATTCCCAATTAATTTGATAGATCACCGATTCATTGTTGCACCTCCACATTGAATTTTAGCATCCACAGTTGGCCTTGGTTGGCTCTTCCTTGCTTTCCAATCAAGTTAGCTGTTAGCTAATCAAGTTAGTTGTTAGCTAATGGTGAAGTTAGCTGTTAGCTGTTAGCTAACGGTGAATCTGCGACCCCACCAAGACTCGATGTAGCTCCGCCTCCCTTTTTTTGTCTTTGACAGCTAGCAGGGTGCGCTACACTTGGGCTTCCGCGTGATCGTCTTTAAGATTATGTCGACGACGCTGACCGTTGCTTGAAAACGACGCTGGTGTATGTATACCTGTATGTCGTCGACACAGCGACAGAGTATCCTTCAATCTGCCCACTTAGTTTTCAGCCACACATGACTGAAGCCCCCGATCGAAAGCTGCACGCAAACATTTTTTTTTTTTTTTTTTAATGCTTACACTTTGGTGACTCATACAGGCCTGGGCATCATTAGCAACCGATTTAGATTTATCACATCTTTAAAGCAAATGATTTTCATCGAATTTTCCGCTTACTCAGCTCAATCATCATCCCTCGCCATGACGCGTTCTCAAATGTGCCACATCGAGGCTTGAAGACGATGTCATTTGGGTCTTGTCATTCCAGCCTCAGACGTCGCCTTGGAAAACTTTTGAACCCAAACATTCAAAAGTGTCTTTCGAGCGCCGCGTGCAACGATGATGAAATCCATTTGGTTGAGAAGAGGCCTATTGGAATGCGGTGGTCATCTGTGACTCACCTCACTGATGGCCTCTTGGTCTCTGCCCCGCCCCTGCCATAAAAAAAAAAAAAAATCCCCTTTCAGAATTTAATGGTTGTTTTTATTGCACTGCATGCAGCCAAACACGTGTTGCCTTCTGGCCACTAACTGAATGTGTGCATTTATATTTTGCTTCCGGAAACGGAGAGACACGCAACTACAAGCTTATTTTGCCCAAAGGGAAACTCCAACAGCAAAGCAGGAGAGGGCGCAGTTTCCTTTTTAAAAGCGGAGGCACTGCCAAACCAATGCCTCCTGATTCCCTCACAGACATCATGGAAATGGTTTGATGCAGGGTCAAACTTTGGCCATCAAAAAAAAAAAAAAACATTTTTAACAAAGCAGCAGTTGCTCAGTAACGTTTTAGCTTTCTCGGGGGTTGAAAATCAGCTGCCCGCTTTGCTATTGTTGCATTGAAACCATTTTTGAGAATGATGCGATGGTAATGAGTGACATCATAGCTTTCGCCTCTTCTTCCGCTTCTTTCAAGGCCTAATTTCGCTTTATTGCAAATGATTAACCGTTGGCCACTCGGGATTTTTAGCGCTGTACCGCAAATCGAAAAGACTTTTGCTCTGACTGAACGCGACGTAGTTGCAGTTTGTTGATAAATAGCAACCGGAATGAAAGCGACATATCTCTTCATCATCTTTGCCTTCCCATCAGTTTGCTTCGACTCGGATTTGTTGTACTTTGTTGCCAGCCATTCGTTGACTAATAAATTCACAAACCAGCAGCGTATGTGAGACCTGTGATGTTTAACAAGCCCCTTTGTGTTCTGAGATCCGGCACAACGGCCTTTTACTCGCAAGTCGGTAACTGCCATGGCAATGCGATCCCAGCTTTGGGCTATTCCCTTTCACGCAGGTGGTATCCTTCCTCTGATACTAACCTCTGGACAGTGTGAAAGGGGTTTGTGATAAGACTTCTAAAAGTAGACACAGGCAAAATGTGATGTCTTCCAGTTTTACAAGCACAAAGTCCAGTTTTATACTTTACTTTAAAACCTGATTTTTCTGGCTTTCTCCAGGTTGTCGTTCTGTGTGAATGGTACCAACACGAAAGGGGGTGGGGGGAGGGGCGAAGGGTATCAAGTCAACCCAGCAGATTTCTGCCTTTGGAATTCTGTACTAAGTTGACCTGGCAATTTTCCGCTTTCTCGGGTAGTGTAAGAAAACCCCTTGGATACTAAACTGTCAAAGCCATTTTTTCCATCTTTTAAAGTTTCATAGTTCTTTAAAATTTTTTTTTTTTTTTTATTAATTAAAAAGCACCAACATGAAAAGGGAGTACTAAGTCAACCTTATAATTTCTGCCTTGAAGTCTTATCTAAAATCCCGTTTACACTGATTGTTCAAAAAAAAAAATAAATAAATAAACGATAGAAAGATAAAGAAAAAAAATGGTCACTTCAACTTAGTGTGATTATTGCGAAAATGAGTGTCCTTTATTTTTGTTGTTGTCAATTAATATCGCACATGAGCTTTTGGGGGTTCATTTTAAAAGAAGTCAAACAGTCTTACACTAATACAATATTCCATATTTTTTCAAAAAAGCTCAAATGAATACTAAAACTAATAAAAAGCATTTCCAAATAAAAAATTAAAAACGAACCAACCCGCTCTTAAATCTAAAACTAACTAAATTTAAATATATATATATATATATATATATATATATATATATTCCGAGCATCCTCAACATGTAGACTGGCCAACATGTTAGCCTGTTAAGTGTCAGCCAACTCTACACACTCATTTTTTGACACCCACGTCATTCACAAGGCCAGACCCCCGCTTTTTACAACCGTACACGCTCAAAGTCACAGATGCTACAGTCCAACATAAGGTTGCGCAACCCCAAGTGGGCTGAAATAGTACTTGCAACTTATGAACACGGAAGGCAATCGGGAAGTTGACCGCGCAATCGGATGCCCTTTGAGATAGCGTGAAAAGCTAGCATCTTTCCACCTTTTTGCACTGCCCATTTTTCTTGATTTATGGAGGGGGGGAGGCATGAAATCATCCAGCAATCGTATGACTTTGGACGTCGCATCACAAACCCTTTCAAGGTCAAACATTCCAAAGTGAACTTCGTATCCCATCCTGTTCGGTTGCTGTTCATACAGAAGAGCAACATGCGTCTTGAAGGGGGACTGTCTGCATGTTTTCCACTGGGTCTTGGTCAACTAACTTGTTTTCCTCTGCTTTTTTTTTTCTTGACCTGGTGCCCCCCTCCCCACTTCCTCCACAACGCTATCATCTTTTCCTCCCTTCTGTTCCCTCTTCCTGTAGAACTCCAAGTCTCGCGACATGGAGCTGATGGAGAAGAGCAACGGGGCGCCGCTCATCAGCAAACACTCGGACGAGGCGCCATCGCCGGACAGTTGGAATTAAAACCCCAACATGCACGCCTGTCCGGATGGCATAACTTATTCATTTGTGTGTGTGACACTTGAGGTGGATCGGACCTCGTTTCCTGTTTTACCGACCCGCCCAGCACCTTTCAAAACATTTGGAAACACTGCAGCACTGCCTGCATGATGGATGTTGCCGCAACAGAGCGCCTGCAAGTCCTTTTTTTGGGGGGGAGCTTTTTGGAGCTTTTTTTTTTTTTTTTTTTCGTCTTGTTTGTGAGCTCCCGATCAAGCTTTTGTCAGCTTTCTGAGAGGAGGACACAAAAGTAATAAACCAACAAAAGCAAAGAACTAATACATCTATGAGACTTTTTTTTTTTTTTATATGGTCTACCATCTCAAAAGTACTCCGAATGTTATATTTATGATGCTTTTGTTTGTAGCCTGAATGTGGTACCTGAAAATTCAATGTTCAATACTGTGGTTCATTAGCTAAACAAGTTCGGAAGAAGTAGACGGAGTTAGTTATAATATTTGAACTGTGACTTTTATGCAGTTGTGGGGAAACAAGTTCTTGGTCGTGACTCAAAATTTTGCGTTTCACTAGCTTTGCTGCGTCAGCATTTTTCCCCACCCTATTCTGAACACAATCAACTTATCGAATGAGTTTTCCGACGCTTTTTCTGGAAACTAAATTTATGGAGAAAGTCGAGAAAACACACGAAATTTTCTTTTTTTTTTTAAAGAGCTAATATTGGTCGGCTGATTAATCGTTGGGGCCTTAGTCTATACATTATTGAACTATTAGCCGTCACCAATATAAGCGTCGAAATGTAAAGTGAAGCTGAAAATGTTGAAAAATTGGAGTCCTTGGCAAAACTTTTGTCCACGCCGGTATTTCTATTCCATTTCTGTGCCTCTGTGCAGTAATCGTTTCCTGAGACTGACTATTTGTCGTTGTGTGAGTGAAGCATCACGTTGGTGTCCTTCCAAGTATTTCTGACACTTTTGAGAAGTGCGAACAGTACAGCATTTAGTCCACTTCCACATACTGATGGGGATCATTGTTTTTTTTGTTTGTTTTTTTTTAATATATATATGAGTGACGGTGATGTCATTAAATATGTTTCCCTTCAGTGATGTCACATATCCTTTTGTGTAGGTCCATCACGAGGCGTCTCTCATTTCCTTGTTGGGGTTTGTGCTTAATTCTTCCTCCTTTCATGTGTCATTCCCGATCGCTTCCTTCCCTCCTGCATGGGCTCTCTGCCACTGTGGCTTCTGGGCAGTTTTTTCCACCACGCTGGTAGGGAGCCTCTGTTGCGGTCTGACGTGACCCTCCGTGGATTTAAATCGTACAGCGGCTTCATCATCTTCTTGCGCCTCCTCACCCGCATGGCCCTCTTGAACGGATCCAGAGCTTGCCTAATGGGGGACCTCTTCTGCCGGACCAAGAAACCCTTGGAAGAGGAGCCGCCCATCACCGGGTGACCTTTTGGGAACAAGGCAAGTATTTAAAAAAACAAGAACTGTTTGGGCAATATTCTCTGGCAGGCATTTAGTGGAAGATTCTGATTACTGGTGTTGTGTGGATAAATCTGGTCAACAGATTTTAACAATATTTTTTTAAATCAGAGATTTGTACTTTGCAAAATAATTATTTTTTGGCGATTTGGGGGATTTTCAGCTCATCAGTGTCTAGCTGAAAACGATCGGATTTCTGAATTTTCTTAATTTCTAAAGGTTATTAAATATTGTATTCATTTGATTTAAGGCAATGCTGACTTACAGCCATATTTTAAAAAGTTATGTTGGGTTTATTTTGATAAAAATAAAAAACAAGATAATATTGATATTGCGCTATGCACGAGTGGGTCACTAGGTTGAACAATGTCAAGTATATTCTGCTTGGATATTACGTCACTCGCTGTTAAGATCATTAAATGGGCTTGGTTTTGGCTTTGCCACTGGGCTCACACAAACATGGAGAAAAAAAAAACAATTCATTTGATTGTATCCAGATCGGGTCATATCAAGTCGTACTCGCAAGTCAAGAATAAAAAGCAGCTGAGTAATACGCAATCTTTCTAAAAACTCGTCACTTGGGCTACTTGTCAGTCCAGGTACCGGCACTGTTGGATGGATTTGACTCGGTCTATCCGAAATAAGGTAGCTCCAATATTAACAACGTCTCCGCTGTAAACTAACCACAATAATAAACACAAGGGGAAGTTAAATTGACAACGCTTTGACAAGTGTCGATCAAAAATGCCATTTAGCAATTTTTGATACACAAATTGTATTTGGTGTGTTTTGACGTACATAATGAAGAGGACTTTCATTTTTTCCAATTCAAAAGTACACTGAAGTCATACAAAAAAAAAAAGGAATACGATGTTTCATCTACGCAAAGTGCTGATGGATCGACAGCTGTCATTGTGGTGGCTTTACCTTGAGCATGATTGAAGTCTGCAATGTCCTCTTAAATCCTCTGTGACTTTTGCATGTCTTTCCTTTTGCGAGTCGCGTTTGATTGCTCTTTTTGTCAAGGAGCGACGACAAACAAAAGTACAAAAGTGAAATAGAGCTAAACAGGTTGTGTTGCATTCTTATTGGCTGACAACTCCCCTTTTGCAAGGGTGTTTGCGAAACTACCAGAAACCATTAACACGGAATATTACATGGGTACTTCCATTCATACTGCAGCATGAAATAACAGCACCATTGTATTATTTCTATCACCGTGTGTTGACACAGTATATAAATCGCAAAATTCTCACTGCCTTATTGTCCTTGTTTTGCTAAAGAGTGCCACCGTGTGGTGATAAGGGGAACTGCTGAAATGGAGTGACTTGAATGAACACTTAATTCAACAATCGTTTGTTCGTCCTGTTTTTAGGTTGGCTTTTTTTGTATTAAAGGAATGTCATGTAGACAGCAAATTAACAAATTGAGGGCGGGGGGCAAACTAGATATTTTATTGATACTTTAATTTGAAATGATGCTTATGGAGAACAGTTAACGAACTTGCCAAGTTACCGTATTATATATTATTACCGATACATTGGACTTTAATTTTATATGCATTTCACCTCTGCATATTTTTTGTAATGATATATGCAATCAGTAGGCTATACTTTATTTTTAATGAAGCCATGTTGGCCAACAAAAATGGAATTGTGCTGGTTATTGTTTAATTTTCTGATTCATTTTTTGTTTCTTGAAAGAAAAAAAAAGTGTTTCAAAGAGCTCCGAGCCTTCACCCTGTTATTGAAATATTGTCATGTTAATCTAAATATATGCACGACCTGTTGTGTCCCCCCACCCCCCACCCCAAATGGGTTTCAATGGGCGTCAATTTGACGCGAACGGCGGGGGTCCACTTTATTTTACGTGTGTGTGTGTGTGTGTGTGTATATATATATATACATCTTAAATAATTGTATGTATTTAGTAATGAACTCTGTTAGGCAATGGTATACAGTATTGGAGACAGTGTGGGTGTGGTGTGTTGGTCTTTGAGAAAATTGATTGGCCATGTGATGATTCACTCTCCTGCCTGTTGACATCATCACCAGGATCCTCCCTCCCTCTTCCTCCCTCCGCCTCCATCGTCCATCCTCCTCCTCCTCCTCCTCCTCCTCTTCTTCTTCCTACCGGTACTCCGTGCGCCTCAGCGCGGCGATGGTGGACTCCGGACCCGGCGAGGCCACGACGACGACGTCGTCGAGGAAGCCCTTCTCGGTACCGGAGATCCCCCCACTAGACCGCTGCGACTTCGGCCGCGCCAAGATCCGCGCCAGCGTGCGTTGGCTGCTGTGCAAATCTTACGGCTGTGCAGGTGAGATCACCCACGGGAAGGGGCTCCATCACTACATGCGTCTGCTTGGGTGGGGCGTTCCGTGGATAACCCGCCCGGCTTCGGTGGGCCATTAGCGCCTCCGTGTGCGTGTGTGTGCGTGCGTGTTCTCTCCTTCTAGCTTCCATTTAGTGTGGTAGCTCCTCTCGGAAAAAAAAATATATATATGTATGTATGTCGCTCATGCATATCGGAGATGGTGTTCCAGCTCACGCGTGGGTTGCGCGGATGCTGCATCATCAGTGCAACAAAAGACTGTAGAGCTGCAGCAGACCTGCAAAAGTGAGCTGTGCTGCGTGGAAATGGGTCAGCACGCTGCAGAATATCGGTGTCAGTGTGACTCGCTGTTGCCTTATTGTTGTTGGGGAACAAAAGACACCGAGGAGAGAAAAAAAAAATTGCAACGTTGCATCCGCGATGCTTCACTTGATTGGTCCTTTGTCGTGGTCGGGTGTGTGACGTTTTTCCACGCTCTCCGTGTCCCTGGCTAATCAATGTTTGCCGCATACACTTGACTCTTGAGGTGCACCTCGGAGTATAATAATACAAACAAAGCGAAGAATCCTATCAGCTACATTACAATGCACAATTTCAGCACTGCTATTGTTTAAAGCCACTCCCTGTTGAAGTTTACTGTCAAACTAAACATCAAACTAGGACACTTACACATGGTGGATTCAAATCAACCACATAGTCTTTATTTGGCCAACACTTTCTACAATATTTTGTGATCTCTTGGTCTCTCACAATGTATTATGTGTTTTTATTATTTGAAGTGTTTAAAGTCCCTTTAAAAAAAAAAAGAAGCGCCACAAATGCTGTAAAATCATGCCTAGAGAGTATTTCAATCGGGTCGTCCCTGCGATGGAGGGAGGATCACCGTACACAATTTCACACTTATGCACGGGTTTGAACAAACTAGTCAAGTTCTCATCGAGTCAACTTGACGACACTGCCATGACATTAAGAGATTGAAATGGACTCATTGCTAATCTTTGGCCGTCTGCTCCCATCGCTCCCGAAATATTATCTGCCGGACAATCTTTCTGGAGCAGTGAAATATCACGGCCGATAAAATGACACAATCTGCATAAATCTGTGCGGACCTATTACTACCACGGAGTACTACTACTCCCAACCAGAATCTCTGAAATTAGTTTGTCTTCACACTAAATAACAGAAACATGTCGATTTTTCATAAGTGTGTCAACAAGGCAAGTTGTGCGTCACTTTTGCTCGCATTTTCCTCCTGGATTCCCTTTAGAAGCAATCAAAGCTAAGGTGGTCCAGAGATGACCCTTTGGAAGCTTTGTCCTGATTGTGCCTCGATGAGATTAGCTGAGGCATTATGCTAACTTGGTTAGCGGGTGCTTGGCTCCTTTCCTCCGCAGTCTCATTGCCTCTGTCGGCACCGCGGGGACACAATGACTTATTTCGTTCTCCGTCGTTTCCATCGTGACGACGTGCCCGTTTCCTGAGGAGATTTAACCCTAAGCCCGCTGTGGTGATCACACTCGTTGCTGATGATTGGTGGAGAGTAGGATTTAGAAAATTAAGTAGAGCATCTACGCGGTCATAAATGCTCCTACACAGACAGGGAAGGAGGAATGGAAGACACCCCCCCCCACCCCCCTCCCGCCCGAGCAGTCATCCCGACTGCACGAGCATCCTTCAGAGACTGGGATAGCCGAATGTGGGTCAGTGTTTCGATGCCGTCCGTCTTGCCTCGTCTTCTTTGAATCGCGTGACCTGACTCTCACTTTGGTCCCGTCCACCTCGTTGAGCTGTTCATGCAGAAGATAACATTAGCATCTCGCAGGATATGACAAAACATTCACTGAGGAATAACTTTTTTTTTTTTTCTCCTCGTTATTATGACTTGGTATTTGCTTTCGGTGTTGGAGGAATAGTGAGTACTTTTTGCCACATCACAGTTTAGAGTATATATGGTACAGTAATACCATGCATATTTGTGGTCCACTATTCATTCACCAATTCACAGATTTTCATACTTTTAAAACCTATCCTCTATTCGGCTAAAGCCTTGACTAAATTGGTAAATAGTACATTAATTGGTCCAAAGAAGTATGTCGAAGTGATACATCTTGACAGAGACAAGCTTTGTGTGTTGGCGCATGACCAAGTTTAGCTTGAATTTTTCTTGACCATGTAAACATGCAGTTGGGTGCGTTTTTATTTTTCTTTTTTCCAAAGCCAAAATTATCTAGAATTTGTTCATCTTTAAAAGTTTGAAGATGTAAGATGAGTGAAATGATATTAAGTGTGTCGGGATAGACGAACCAAGCTGGGAATTTGCACCTGTGCATCCTATGATCGTCCACTTTTTCCCAACGTGACGACAGATTGCATGCGTCCGCAGAAAATGTGCCGGTGGAGTTGCGGGAGCCGCTCTATCAGGACCAGTATGACCAAGAGCACCTCAAACCGGCCGTCTCCAAGCTGCTCCTCTCCCCGGAGATCTACTGCCGAGCTCAGGCCTTGCTTGCGCAGACACACGGGGCCCCCTCCTCGGCCTCGCAGGACTCGCCCTGTGACAACTGCGCCTTGCTGCACTTCCTCACAAAGAAAGGTGTGGCCCCGCAAGTCCAGGATGTGGACGTCACCGAGGACGACCTCAGATGCACCCCCATCAAGATGGTAGGACTTTGGGCCAAAGTTGTAAAGACACTTCATTAGATACACCGGCACAATCTAATGAGCTCTGTACAAACAGTCCACCTTGACAACTGTTCCACACACATCCCCCTTTTTTTTTTTTTTTTTTACTTTAGCGCTTGTCAGTCAAAACTGAACATTACTCTCGTTATAAAGGAAGAATATATCTTATAATGCACAGGTGGACCATAATTCTAAGACTTGTAATGGAGGAACCAATTGTCAATGTCCTATTTTTTTGCGTTCTGGTCGCCAATGGGTGCAGAAAGCCCACCTGGCCCTGATGGACTCGATGATGTCACTGGCCAGCAGGGAGATCGTGCACAGGGTGAAAATAGCGGCCGAAGCTGAGCAGATGGGCGTCGGAGCGCCCTGGGAGAATGCGCTGCTCTTCTGGGTCAACAGGGTGAGTCGCCAACGCTCCTCCCTAGTCACAAATGTGAAGTCTGAAGCCCTTTTCACACTCTACTCGCTCAGTGGGAAAGATTCGCGTGGCCGCACAGAAATACAATGTTGCCCTGGTTGCCAGCATGCCCATATTTGGAAGTGATGGGATTTTTATTTCCCAGTTTCGCCTTGGAACTGATGATTTCTCGTTGCACTTAATTGACTTGAATGAAAACTCTTCATCCATCGCTATCTGTGCATTGCTATGATGTGCTGTGATGGCTCAAACAGCGAAATGGCCTTTAATTGTCACTGCATCGTCTTGACAGTTGAACCAGAAGCTGAGAGAAAGCACCGAGGAGGAAGAGACACCCAAGCCGCCGCAGCAGATCACTGACCCCCAGCACTCCCAGGAAACGGTACACGACTCTGCACACACGCACACATACAAAGTGTGACTTCCCTCATTGAGGTGCGTCGGTCCACCTTGTAACATCCTCACCCTCATTCTGCTTCTCTGTCCCCCATCCCTCCTTCTCGGTCTCATGTGCATTGTGGCACCTTGCTCTCCAGCAGGGCCCGCCCACCCGTTGGTATTGGAAACTCGTCCCCGTAAGTGTGCGTTCTCTTGTCCATCTCCTCTCTATGTATGCGCGCGTGCACTCGCCGAGGCTGACGCCGCTGTGCCTGCTGGAAATGCCACATTATGATATTAAGATAGATATGTGTGTGCGTGTTCTTTTATTATCTGCCTGTCATGTCAGATGACCAATGAGAGTGTCTTCATTTGTTCCTCAACATGTTGCCTGCTCATGTTTGTACTCTCTCGCGAGCCACAATTGCATGTTGAGTTCCAGGAACTCAATGGTCTTGGTAATTGTACTAACTAACTAACTAACTAACTAACTAACTAACTAACTAACTAACTAACTAACTAACTAACTAACTAACTGCTGAATGTTACTTGAAAAAGTAACTAACTGATGAGTTACCTGAAAATCTAACCAACTAGCTAATTAGCTAACTGACGAGTTAATTAGCTAACTAACTAACTAACTAACTAACTAACTAACTGATGAATGTTACTTGAACAAGTAACTAACTGATGATAGTTACCTGAAAATGTAACTGACTAGCAAGCTAGCTAGCTAACTGACTAACTAACTAACTAAAGTGACTTGCAACAATTCACTGCGGTGCATCTAAAAAGTCACAACACCCCTTTTCAAGTGGCAGGTTTTTTTCATACAAAAAAAAGGAGACCAAGACAAGTACAAAGTCATTTTGAAATGTTTTACACCAGTCATGTGACTTACAACCTGTCCACCTCAATTGAAAAATGATTTTCGAGAGGGGAAGTAAACATAAACAACCAAGATAATGTGATTGCAAAAGTGTTCACACCCTGTTGTAACCGGCTTTGTTCTGAAAGAGCTCATCACATTCAAATTCATGTGAGAAAATGGATGTTACCTTTGAGCCACTGAGCCAAGAACAGCGCTTCAGCATGTTCTTGACGCAACGGGATCATGGCTCGGTATTCAATATAAAATCCACACCTTGTGACAAGCCTCCGAGTCATCAGTTTGATGAGGAAGGAGGAGATATTGGGGAGGAGGGAGGTCAAGCCACATCCATCTCGTTTGTCCCTCGCCTCTTCCCCCATTGCCCCCCCCCCAGTTCCTTGTGTGTCACAGTGTGATGATTTTTTTTTTTCCAGGGGCCCCTTTGTCATTTTTATGCTTGTGTCCCTCTCTCTGCCACGCCCCCGTCCAGCATGCTATCGCTTTTTGTTTGAAGGAGTCGGGGAACAAACCTCCAGTGGTAATGTATAGCAGCTCGCTCTTGTCGTCATCCACATCCCCCCCCTCCCCCTTCCCCGCTAGCAACGCACCCCCACCCACCCACAGGCTAAACTAACCTCCACCACATCTGCTGTAACTTTGAGCTCCTGCAACAAGGCTGCTGGAATGAGTCTGGTGTCCGTCCGTCAGTGTGTCCACTTCCGCTGCATGCGGGGCACAAATCCTCTTCACCTTCAAGCCACATTTTTTTTTCCCAGCTGCTTCATGTTTCCTGATGCCTGTTTTTGCTTTGTTTTATGCAGCTTGAGACCGCACCCTGTGTTTGGTGTGTGTTTATTTTGGATGACCTGGCACACGCTATCTGGTCACAACATTAGGTACACCTGCACAATCTAAAGGAAAGCCAATCAGGACTTCATGCGTGTTTAGTGTCATTGACCAAAATACAGCTTGATTGTGTTTTGACATTGTGCTCTTGAGCAACAGGCTAGAATCCGGATTTTGGGTAGGCGCATGTTACATGTGATTTAAAAATAATAGAACTAAATTCCTAAATACAAAGTGTGAAAATGAAAAGAATCTTAGTTAAATCCTATTTATTTACGCTGGATTTAAAAAAAATTTAATTGCAGGCCGCGAATTTGAGTATCAGTGAATATTCATCAAACCTGAATGTTAATTTCTTTGCAGAAATGTTTATTCCGCTCTTGTGCAAGTGTACCTAATGAAGTGTCCGTGAGCGTACGGTGTCTTTATTTTTCTGTGGGCTTTTTCTTGCCGTGGCTTCGCAGCTTGACTTGATTTCTTCCCTTTTTTTTTTTTTTTAAATCACATGAGGAGGACCCACACCTCTTCTACGTCCTAAATGTCCCAATGTGGACTGCCATTTTTCAGCGTGCTCTCTGCTTTCTGCTCCTCCATTAGATCCGCTACAGGAAGGACAAAGTGCAGTCCAAGCTGACTCCCACCTTCCCTCTGGTCACCGCGGTCAAAGATTTGTCTAATGGCTGTGCTATAGCTGCTGTGCTACACTTCTACTGCCCCGGCGTGCTTCCACTCGAGGGTACACACACACACACACACACACACACACACACACACATACATGCATCATTAAATATTGATCTTTACCTCCTGGCACAATAATCAACCGGCGTTGTGCATATCGTTTTTGGCAGATGTATGTCTGAAGGACACCATGTCAGTGGCCGACAGTCTTTACAACCTGCAGCTGATTAAAGAGTTTTGCGAGAGCACTTTGCAGAGCTGCTGCCTCCTTCGCCTGGAAGACCTTCTCTATGCTCCGCCTCTTCTGCATGTAAGCTCCACCCCATTTTAAACTCTACTCGACAGCATTCGTCATTTATAGGTGGAAAACAAGTACCGTCCCGCATTGGAAGATGGGTCAACCGTGTGATTTGTCTTCTAGCCGGTCATGGAAACGTTCAATAAAAAAAATCATGGGGAACAAGTACACTGTATTATACGGCATTGGTTCCCCAATCACCGGTCCACAGTCCGATACTGGTCCATTGGTCATTTGGTGCTGGGCGCCAAGGGCAGGGCAAGAATTTTTTGTTTTGTTTTGTAGCAGAGGATATTTGTAAATGTAAATGCTGGAAAGTCATGACACGTGGTGGTGCCAATAGTAGTCGAGGTCATGACAGCAACTTGCAGCATACATTGGAGGTGCGGCACTTTCTGTACTTGTTTACTTCATTTGGGAATGGCTTCTGTATGCGCTAAGGCCACTATGTATGTGAGGATTTATGGTAAATTGCTCATTTTGGATTGCCATGACAATGGGAAGGAGGGAGGGAGAGAGAAACAGAGGGGGGGGGGGGGGGCCCATTTCTTCCCGCGCCGCGCGAGACAATTTTGCAAGCGTTATTCTAAGGTGAAACCGCCACATATGGCCACTACTGTATTAACAGATTCTTTTTTTTTTAAACAAGATGGCAGAATTATAATTTGTTTTGTTTTTGTTTTTGTTTTTTCGTCGGCACAGCTGAACATCCTGAGTTTTGTCGCCGAGCTGCTGGAGTGGTTCGAGGTCAAGAAGCCTGATTTTGTACAACCGATACAAGCCATTGACCTCACAGGTGAGTTTTGGGCTATTGGTCACGTGTTTAGTCAAGGGTGACGCTGGCTTGAAATGTCACCGAGTGAGGCCCGTCTTTGCATAAAAACAAAAACAAACAAAAAAAACAATAAACCACCATACTGTACTTGTTTGGTGGAAAGCACTCGGCCTCAGGTGCAGTTTCTAATAAGCGGCGCCTCTTCCTCGTCCTTTCAGATATTTCGGGTGTCGTGTTTTGTACGAGTCCTGTCAGTGGGAACAGCAACAGGTAGAAAACAAAGTTGTTTCAGTCCAGAATACGATGGAGCAACTCAGCAACACTTTTCATCTCCGATCTTTCCAGTGGATCTCCTTTGTTCGTCTTCAAACAACCTTTTGTGACCGCCCCCTCCCCAGTATCACCGGGTAAGACGCACCAAACTATTGGACAAACCTGAGAATCAATGAGCATTTGGACTACTGGGTTCTCTGACCATATTGCAGTTTAGCATTTGCGCCGCAAGCGGCTTTGCAGATGTTTTTTGTGGAATGTGTTAGCAGAAAGTCTTTTCAGAGCCACGGCGGCTCTTCTAGCCGCAAAGGTGGCGCAAGTCCATATTTGCTTCTATTTTCACATCTAACTTCTGATTATGTCCTTGCAGAAAACAAAAGTTGGACAAAGAAACAAATCAGGTGTGGAACTCGCTCGATGCGTTTCTTCCGTCGTCGACGTGTTGTTCTGTTCATACTTTGCCTTGATTTTCGAAACCGTCTCACTTTGGCTTCTGTGGTCTCACTGCACTTACATCTTCCCCCCCGACTCCCCCCACCACCACAACCACCACCATCATCCGCCCTCCTGCAGTCGTCCTCTGTCCGCAGTGACTTTCAGCATCCCATTTGGGCTGGACAGTGATGTTGATGTTGTCATGGGCAACCCAATAGATTCTGTCTTTCGCTCTGTCAGCACGGACAGCCCGGGCGCCGGCATCCCCGCACCGACTTCGCTGGCGGGGATGACTCGCGCACCCTACAGCCCCCCGGAGGACCTCAGTCACCTGGTCAGCGCTTCGGCACCATCGCAGCGGTCTTCTTGGGGGCCCTATGCGCACCCGCCGCCTCTGGGAGAGCTGCCCGCCGTTGAAGAGGCATTACACGCGGCCCCCGCCAGTAAGGATCGAAACAAGGGAAGGACCGCAGAGAAAGATGTGAAGGGAGTTTTGACAACAAGACCAGAACCTAGGTTATGTCCCGAGGGCGCCCCTGCCGGTTTCTTCCTGCACTCCCCGTTGGAGGAGACCCCTCAGCTCAGTAGTTCTGTCCCTTGCCACTCGGGAGTCATTTATCGGCCGGTAGGTGGAGAAGCGAGTAATAACGATGGGAGGAGTCAGAGGAAGGAGAGGCAATCGCGGGCAACTGACAGGTCACGTGACGACGACTCTGTCTTGCGAGACGGCAGCGTTGACTCATCGGAGGCATCCGACAACGCCCCCAGAAACGCCCCCGGTAATATGCGACCCACTAAAAATCATCACGGACACAACAGCGCCAACGGCAGCCCACGCATGACAAGCTTTGCGGAGCGACGGGATAACAGAAGAAGACATCCCGTCGCTTCTGGGGAAGACTTTACCACTCCTCTGACTCCGACGACCCCGGGAACGCCGCACGCTCCCTCCACGCCAGCAGGAACTCCCGGTCAGAAGGATAGCCCTGGCCTCAGAGGTCCCGAGCCGGGTTCGGAGGCCTGGGAGCTGGGAGCTCGCCTGGAGGAAAAACGCAAAAGCATCGAAGCCCAAAAGAAACGAATTGAGGCCATCTTTGCCAAGCACAGACAGAGGCTCGGAAAAACGGCTTTCCTTAAAATGAAACGAGAACAAGGGGAGGGTTGGGGAGAGGGGACGGAGAAGAAGAACCTCTCTCTGGAGGAGCGCCTCACTCTCATGGAGGAGCAGCTGAAAAAGGAGGACGAAACGCAAAAGGCAGAAAGGGAGGCGGACAAGGAGAAAGCCAAGCCGTCCGTCTCCGAGCCTCCGCGGCTGGAGAAGCAAGTCACATTCTCGATGGACGGCAAAACGGGACAAGAGAAAGAAAAGGCGTCGGAGAAAGAGAAAGGAGGCGATGCCATTCTTGTGGAGTATAATGAAATTGTCCAGAAACTGAGTGAAGCTTTGCAGTCACTGCAGAAGGACATGCAGAAATTAACGGAACAGCAGCAGCAGCTTCTGGGCAACCAAAGACCAAGAAGCTCCCAAAAAGTCACCCCAAAGTCAAAACCCAAAGGTAACACCAAGGCGCTCGCCAAAACCCCTCCTCCCACACCCGCAAAGACACCCCCAAGAACCCCGACCAAGAATCCGGCCACGAGTACCGGCAAAGCCTGGATGATTCCACCCGGTCCCAAAACTTCCTCGGTGTCGTCGCCGTCCCGACGGAGCCACACTCTCTCTGCGGCGACTTCGCCGAAAACAATCGTCTCCTCCTCCTGTCCGGCCCCCCGCACCAAGATCCACATCTCGTCAGCCCCCCGCAGTCCCAAACACCAACCGAGAACGCAAACACACCCGCGACCCTCGGAGCTCAAGTTTCCCCCTCTCAGTCGCGTTTTGACTCCGACTCACACCGTGGATACCCTCCCCCACTTGCGAAGGGTGTCGCCCAGCAAGTGTCAAGTGCAGACGACGTCGTCCTTCCGCATCGGCGGACTTCGAACTCCCCAGGAGGTTTCTCAGCCCGCGCCGCAGCCCGATGACAGCGCCTCAGACACCGCGTCCAGTGAGACGCCGACCCAGTTTAGCCTGGAGCTCGAGCAGGACGATGCCGAGGCGGCCGCGGCGCCCGTGCCGCCTCTCCCGAGGGCCACGAGCGGCAGCAGCTCCGGAGCGCCGTCGGAATGCTCTTTTGAGAGCGAGACGTTATCAATTTCTGCCGCGGGACAGGCCGGAGGGAGAGCCGGAGGTGCCGAGAAGCACTGCAGTATGATTGAGGTGTCGCTCTCCTCCCTCGGAGGACCGGAGGAGGGAGGCGGTGACGAACCAACGGATGAGGGGCAGGACTTTTCATCCGACTCCATGAGTGACCAACTGGAATCTGCGGCCGAGCCTGGACCCGTCATTGCTTCCGGTGCCGCGGCGCAGTTGGATTCAGCCACAGAAGCCGGGAACTCTTCAAAACCGCAAACGGAATCCAGTGGCGGCCGAGCGAAAACCGATCCCGCAGACCCACTTGAAGAAAACGGCGAGCTTGGAGCCAGAGGAGGGATAGGATTCTTTTTTAAGGTGAGTGGTGACGAATAAAATCAAGGTCGGTAGTTTTCCATTTTTTCCACCATGGAGCAGTTTCACGTAAACCAAGATTTTGATGGTCCGGCAGAGGACCAAAAGGAAAAAAATTTGAATCATTAAATACACAATTGTCCATGACGCTGCATGTTGTTGTTCTCAGCTGGTCCCACCTTTTTGTCTTGGGAGACATCACAACCCAATTGGTGTCCAGTCTACTCCGTAATTTTGTTTTGGGTGGCCTGCAGGTTGCGGGATCTCCGTTTTTTTGTCTTGAAACGACAGGAGCGGTGGAGTGAGGCCGAATTGTGTTACTTGTGGTATCTGCAGGAGGATGTCGACAATGAAGAGGAGATGGCCCAACGGAAAGCTCTCCTCTTGGAGAGGCAGCAAAGGAGAGCCGAGGAGCTGAAGAGGAGGCGACAGGAGCAAGAACGTGAAAAAAAGTGCGGGGCCTTCCAAAAACAACGTCATGAGTCAAATCGAAGCTAAGACTGTTCCCCTCTTTCTTCAGAATGGAACCTTCAGACAAGACCGCCTCCTCTCCTGCGAACACACCTCCTATCGGAAACACCTCACCCTCTCCCACTCCTCCGGCCACTCCAGCCCGACGTGGAGATTTCACGCGAGCCGAATACGCCCGGCGGCAGCAGCTGCGGATCATGGACGACCTGGACAAGATGCTGCAGCAGAAATCAACCAACCAGGGACGATCACCCGTCAGGAAGACGCGAACGCGGGCACGGCCTCGCAGCGTCACCAGGGAGGAAACGAAGCTGTCTCTGAGCCCCGCCAAAAACGCCACCCGTAAAGAAATACCATCATCGGTTCGATCGTACCCAAAGAACTTGTTGACCGTCGCTTTTCTTCCTACAGCCCCGAAGATGACCAAGTCTCACTCGTCACTCAACCTGGCCGCGACAGATGTGGCGGGAAACGATGACGGCGATAAGAAAATCCAAAGGTGCTCTTTCGATTTGCGATTAGCATCACATGTGTACTTCACTCATTTCTAGCATCTCGAGCGCCGTGTATCCACCACACACATCAGTTAGCGTTTCTCTTGTTAAGAGTCAACTCGGCCACAAACCTGAAGTGCTATAAGCCTAATTTTGCTTTCGGTTCGGATCGGTTTTACGACTGATTGATTGGAAAACGAAAGCTAACACTTCCAGTCATCTGCGCCTGACAGCCGACCCGATTCGCCTGCTGGATGCGTGACGCCGAGCAGATTTGCAAAACACAATGGAGACTGGGAGACCGGTTCAAATGGAACCCCGCCTGCCCTGGAATACACAGGTCTGGAGCATTGTGACATACCTCCACATAAACACACACACACACACACACACACACACACACACACACACACACACACACACACACACACACACACACACAGTTTTTCCAACGACGACGACTGATTTTATGTTTATTCGATCAGGTCCAAAGCTCTTCAAAGAACCGAGCTTCAAGTCCAACAAGTTCATCATCCATAACGCTTTGTCTCGCTGCTGCTTGGCCGGAAAGGTCAACGAGCTCCAAAAGAACAAGATTGTCGAGGTACCCAAAAAAACAATTAATGGCATTTCAATTCATTTCAATGGGAAAATGTGATTTGATACACCAGTACGTTCATCCACGAACCACGAAGAGGCTAGAAGGCGGGGGTTCACCGCGCACCCTTTTGACCTGCTCTCCCTCCAACCGCAGGAGATGGAGAAGAGCCCCGCCAACCACTTCCTCATCCTCTTCCGGGACGCCAGCTGCCAGTTCCGCGGCGTCTACACCGCTAACCCTGATTCCGCGGAGCTCGTGCGCTTGGCCGGTGTGGGCCCCAAGACGATAAACTCGACCCAGGTGGAGTCCATGTACAAGTACAGCTCAGACCGCAAGCAGTTCAGCGCCATCCCATCCAAGACCATGGGCATGAGCGTGGACGCGTTTACCATACCTGGACACCTGTGGCACTGCGGAGGGGGGGCGGCTGCAGCAGGAGGAGGAGGAGGCAGCAGGAGGGCAAGCGTCACGAAAAAGGTGCTCGTTTCCAAGTGAACCACACCTTTGCATATTGTTGACATATCGGATTTGACCCTAAGGGTCTTTGCAGTGCAATTCTCAACCCGTCGAGTTTGTCAAATGCGAATAGTTTCTTTCAACGGCAGAGTTCGAAGTCGACTGATTTCAAAGGATAGCCGAGCCAATATAAGACGTCCCGGGCTAGCTTATATCCATCCATCCATTTTTTTTCCCGTTCGGGTTTCAGGTGAGCTGGAGTCTTGGGTGTGATGCCCCCAACAACTGACAACTATTAATAATAAATTGCTTATATGTTGATATTGTCGATGTTTTCTAGCTATGCAAATATGCAAATACAACACAGTGTTGTCATGAGATATGACTGACCCGAATTTTTTGAGATACGAGCCATCAATCAGCCTTTTTTTTTTTTGCTTTGACTTGTGAACGATGCTCATTTCAACTTATTTCGCAAGAAGCAGCAGTTTGGTCGATGCAGAACATTTTATCTGGTGCCAAAACATGTGATACGACTGACTTTTTGTGGCGAACACATAAAGGGGAAAGTTGCTTCTTCTGCTTAGGAAATGTTAGGAATAAATTTAATATTATTTTTAACCACAGCTCGACTGATAACCTGGTAAGCCAAACTCTTGATAATGTAAATGCTCTGCAGTGGGCTCAATTAAAAAAAAAAATGGAGCATGCTGTATTTAGCCCACGCACCATATTTTGTCCACCCCTCCACCAGAAAATATGTTTATATTTGTTTGGGACATCAAATACATCTGAGGTGAATGGTGGTTGCCTGTGTGTGTGTGTGTGTGTGTGTGTGTGTGTGTGTGTGTGTGTGTGTGTGTGTGTGTGAGAGTGAGAGAACGAAAGATCTAACTAATGTACGTTTATGCCCCCCCACCTCCCCCCCAAAAAATGAAAACGTGATGTTCCTGGTTGCAAAATGGAGCCGATTTTGTACCTTGAAACGAAAGGACTTTAGCATTGTGCTCCTTTGGAGTGCACATGAATAAAGTGGTGCTTTACAAAAAGGACTTTCGTGTGTTAAGTGACGGATTAAACTCTTCTTCAATCAAAAGACTGTCACATGATTTATTAAATTAGGAGTGCATTTTTGGTCATGCGAAAGGAATATAATGAGGTCATTTTCAAAATCGATTTTTTAACAGTTCTTCGTAAATCGAAAAACGCTTGCTTTAACCACTTACCTTTTCATATTTGTGAATTCCTGAAGTCGTGAATGCACTACAGGAAAGTAACAAATCTATCGCAAATATAACCTGTTGGGAGTGGAAATAACGACATACATAAATGAAGCGATGAGTTTTCAGTCATATTTATTGCACCCTCCTCAGAGCCCCACCAAATGCTACTAAGTGACATATCGAACCTAAAACCTCATTTAGATTACATCCGCTATTTGTGTGGGTTAGCTGTGAAGAGCCTAAGAACATTTATTGCAATTGAGCCACAAAATACGGTGAGGGGGGAAGGCACTTTAGAGGCGCTTCTAATTTCAAATTTGAGTTCCTCAAATAATAGCCGTTTCTCTAACAGGCTGCGATATCCACTGAATATATATTCGCTACAGTTCAAAATGGAGCAGCATTAGCAGCAGCACATTAATGTCTCTCGGCAAAGTGTGGAGACTGCATGCTAAAGACGGGTTCAATTCACAATATTAAAGATGAAGCTCCAGAAGAAGCATATTTATGTCATAATCCGTTTAACTTCACTTTCATTCGTTTTAATTGTAATGTAACAGTACTTTGGCTCCTAAAATGTGTTCACACAATTCAACGAAGCTATCCAAGCGCCAGCATGCTTTAATGCGCAAAAGTTCCAATGAACGACAACATGAGTACGTGGTGGATAGAATCAAAATCTTCAAAGCTTGATCATACCAATGATTCCCCAGTGCCACAGAAAAGTATCCAATTGGTCCAAAAATGATTCCTTTGTGACAAATAAAGTATCTCTGTTCATCCATCTGCGGGGCAAAATAAATGCTCTTTATGTGCAATTAAGCCGAACGCAACAGGACCATAACAGTAGTTTTGTGCTCAACTAAGCAAACACAAGGTGGCGGCAAAGGACTATATAGCGCTGTTCTACTTAAAAATAGTTCCTCTGCATCAAAATACCAAAAGATGGAGCCAAAGCACAATTGTTATGTTTTAGCCCAAGCACAAAAACAATGACGAATGAAGCCCGGCCAAAACGAAATCTGTCAATAGGTCAGTCCAGGAGTATCAGATTTTTTTCCACCCATAAAATACATATGTGCCTCACTTCCAAATAAGGTTGAGAAACACTGGGTTATACAACGCCAATTTTAGCGGCAGTTTGAACATAACTCAGCAGCTAAGACCAATACTCTGATGCAGTTTTCTGTGGCTAGTGAAGCACAATGAGCTAACATGGGTGTCGTAGTGCAACAGCACGCCTCCACTTAGACGCCATCTTGTTGGGGGTTGGCCAAAATGCGCTCGGTGCTGTTCCCCATGGCGGCGTCCCCTTGAGGTTCCAGCGAGAGGGCCGTGGAGGCGGACCAGGTGGTGTTGGGCGCCACGTCTGTCGGGACTTTAGCCGAGGTGGGGGCGGAGCTCAGGTTAACCCAGAGGCGAGAAGAAGAGGGGCTGGGCGGCATGTCGGTGGGCATGTCGGTAGATGCGTCGGCTGGCGTGTCCGAGGTGTTGGATGATGTCAGGTTGGTGGCTGTGAGGGAGGCGGAGTCTGCGAGGGGATCCGATGAGAGATTGGCGGGAGGGCTGGGTGTCATCTTGGGGGTGTGAGCGGGAGTGGGCTCCTGTGGATCTGAACACACTGGCGGCCCCTCAGCCACGTACCACACCTCGTTGTGCCTGTTGAGAAGCTTGAAGGGACTACACGCACGCACATAAAGTGAAATGTTACATGAGGATTTCTTCTAATAAATATAGTGGTGCCTTGAAATATGATTTAATCACTTTTGGACTTATTTTTGTGCCCAGTGCCAAGTCTAGCGCAAAACTATATAAATATGGCCCGCCCCCCCCATTTTGTGTTAACATCTTGCATTAAGCTAGCAGACGAAAGGCTAATCTATGCAGTTGTTTTGAACACACGTGTAGTTTTCCTAGTGCTACAGAATCTTTATATTTATTAGCTCGTATCTTGAAAACCTTGTAAGTTGGGGGGGGTCCCTCGTACACCAAGGCACCACTGTATTGGTTTCCCAGCCAAACGTCACACCTCCAAAATTAAAGCGTGCGTGTTCGCATTTGGTCTGCACAGACGAATCATTTGTATTGTGCACACCTGTCGTAGCCGACGCCGTAGTGGAAGGTGTGGTTGTAGGGCGCCCGCACTCTCTCCAGCTCTGTGGTCAGCAGGTGTGCATGAAGCCTGGACGTCACCGATAACATCCAACCTCCATAGCTTCGCACGTAGACGTCCATCTCGGGCATCTCGGTGAAATACAACTAGAGGGATGAACAGTGACACCGACCCGGCAGTGACTATGATGCTATCATCGCGACACTTGGTATCAAGTTAATCACACTCATGCTGCACCATCCACTCACTTTGTCATTGGTGGGTGCGGGCGGCTTGTCTTGGTACGCTTGCGGCAGCAGGAAGTGAAGCGTGTAAACGGCCAGCTCCCACATTTTAGTCTCCTCCGGGATTTTAACCAACACGGGCGCGGTCATCTCCATCTGGATGCCTGCCAGCAATACGTAATCACTCACTTTAATGTAAGGGGGGTGGGATCCCATCTTTTCACAATCAAAGACTATTTGCTCTTTTCACCTGCTTCATTGGCGCCGGTGATGTATTGAAAAAGTCTCCTGAATGCCATGGCAGCACCCACACCCATGAAGTAGGCCTCGGCGTCTGTCGACACCCAGCGGGTGGGGCTGTAGTGTCGGACCTACACAAAAAAAAAAAAAAAACGCAGTCAGCAGTTTTTGTACTGCTTCACCCAAGACGATCCTTCACTTCAACTTGGGAATCATTTAGTGTATAGGACTTATAGATGTGGACAAAAATGTTGGTACCCCCTCTGTTGGCAGAAGACAAATCCACAGTGGCCACAGAAATAATTTCAATGTAACAATAGTACAGAATCAGAATCATTATTATTGGCCAAGTATGTAGAACACACAAGGGATACACTATTGCAATAACAAGCAACTACAATTAAAAAAAGACATGACAGATGCACATCAAAAGACTTTGCGTTAATGTAAGGGTACCATTGTGCAGCAGCGTGGAATATTGATCAACTGCAATTATTCAAGTATGTAGACAGCTGGAGCGACAATGATCAATGTGGGGATACGATTCCACAGGGGTGTGCAAAAGTGCAAAGAGCCACTATAGATTTGAGTCACTGTTTCAGGATTTAATGGCGAAAGAGAAGAAGCTGTTTCAATGTCTGCTGGTTTTGGCGCGCATGGTTCGGACGCGCTTACCTGAAGGGAGTAGCTGGAAAAGGTGGTGGCCAGGGTGTGGGGTGTCAAATAAATAATATGAAATAAAAATCAAACAATGAAAGTCAGACATTGGTTGTGATGGATTTTGCTTTTTTACCTTGAATATGCTTGTCTATAATTTTTTTTTCTAATCTCCTCAGACCCTTTGCTTCCTCTGGTCCTTGTTTAGTGCGGTACACACCATATCACCAAAGAGCGCGATGACTCCTTTGTCACCCTTTAAACAGGCCAACTTTTGTGATATATATATATAAAGCCTTTATATACACTCTCAGTGAAACTCACCTCACTGGTATTGATCATAGCAAAGGTGTCATTACTCACTTCATATTCATCGGTTTTGCAGACCGCCTCAAAGTCCAGGCATTCCTTTGTCTCAGTGCAAAAGCTGCCACTGGTGCTCGGGCTGCAACCAGTACAAACGGGACAATTGTATTTTTTACAAAGAGAGTTCCATCAATCCAAAAGCATAGCATGTACAGTACAGTGGTCACTTGAGATACAAGTGACTCCACTTGAGAGTTTTTCTAAGTACGAGCCATCATCCCGACTTTTTATTTCTTTCTTTGTTTTTGCTTTGACCTGCGAGCAGAGACTTGAGATAAGGGTGTTGGATGGTGTCAGTGAACTCAATTCTCTGTACTAAAAAAAAATAAATAAAATTAACCCCCCCCACCAGTTTGGCAAATATTGAGTCAACAACTTTGCCTTCAGAATGGCTTTCCAGTTTAGCGCTAACATATCATGGAAACATGACATGCTAATGCTAACACTTAGCATCGACAATTGCACTTTGTAGAAGCAATAGATATTTTAACAGGAACGGTGGAGCAACACATGTAGGCAAATTAGACAGTGTAACAATTACTCGATATGCTGACCCATATAAGTTGACTCATGTGGTTTCACGTTCTTTGGATTAAAAACAAACCAATGATCAAAAAACATCAGTCTCAAAGGTCGACAAAAAACATTTAGGAGCAGTACTAATCAGATGATTGTAATTTTACTACACAAACTTTGGGGCAGCTTTTAGGACCATGCCCAAGGGCTATATCACGTGTGTGGGGAAATAAATGAGAATCAATTAAATTAACAAAAAGAAAAAAAAAAACCTGAAAGTACATTTTTTCTTTAAAAAAACCTGCTTAAAATGTACATTGTTTTCATCTGTGTCATTTACTTACATGAGTATTTATTTCAGTACTATTGTTTGGCTGTACGCAAGCAGAAATAAACATATTAAAACACAACGACCCACTCGGAAAAAAATTCAAAACTAAGTCAATTTATTTAACACTAAATAAACAGTAACGTAATAATAATAAAATACGTAATAATGTAATAATGAAAAATCCCAAACTGTTATAACCCTGCAGGAGTTATAAATGTGTCACAATCTGAATTTCATGAAACACGTCTAACACTGCTGGCATGCGCTAACTTACCCAACACTTGCTTCCGTGGTAACCACAAGGGCCAACACGGCCCAAACTGACATGAATGTCCTGCAAAAAAACAAACGTGTCAATTTGGAGGAAGTCTTTTTTTCATTCCCAACTAGGACACTGTTTTTACATTTTTTCAGTTAAAGTGCAAGTCAATTCCAAATATTTCTTGTTCCTAAGTACAGTATTACGTTGGTCCATGTACAACATCAATGGAGCATGAAAATGCACAAATGGTTCTTCCATCTATTTTCTGATCCGCTTTCTCCTCACAAGGGTCGCGAGGCGTGCTGGAGCCTATCCCAGCCGTCTTTGGGCAGTAGGCGGGGGACACCCTGAACCGCTTGCCATCCAATCGCAGGGCACACAGAAACGAACAACCTTTCGCGCTCACACTCACGCCTAGGGAAAATTTAGAGTGTTCAATCAGCCTGCCATAGTACCCGTAGAAAACCCACGCAGGCCTGGGGAGAACATGCAAACTCCACACAGGAAGGTCAGCGCTGGAATCGAACCCGTCCACCACACGTCCACCGGGCTGCCACAAACGGTTCGATTGACATTATTTTTAATGATGTTATTAATCTATGTTAGGAGTGTGCAGTTATTTTTTTCCTATCACAAACCATTTTACAAAACTTTTTGGGGGTGCGTTTGAGGGGCTTGGGGGGGGGGGGCGGCATTTCGAATCATCTCAGTCCGCCACCCGCCTGGCTTGATGTGCAGCCTGCGTATGCCGCATTGTCACTGCAGCAGGAAAGAAAACGCTGTGTTACCGCTGCATCACGTTCCCCACGCTCGCTCTTTTTTTCTCCTTCTACCACCGGCAAAGTCAATTGGAGGTCAAGTCAAGGATCGGCATCCAAACTGTCCACTTTTTGCTTTAAACACTCTCACAGAGCTCCGAAAGATAGGTCTCGTACAATTTTCTTGATGATTTCTACGTCTGTTCAATAGTTTGCGGCGGCTGCTCAGCAATGACGCAAACTGAACGGTGACGCAGCAGGAAAAGAAGAAAAACAAAGTCGCAAAATGAACACGTGCTCTACTTTCACGCGATGAGGACGATCGACAGCATCTGTAATGTGTGTTTGTGTGCTACTTACATGCTTCCGGGGCGTGTGTGTCCTTCCCGCAGAAATGTTGGGAGACGCCGTGAGGTTGATGTGCGAGTGGTGGTGAGGTGTGCTGCAATATGACGGCACCAACTTCTTGCCCAGCACCGCATCTCGCCGGAAGGGGGGTGGGCGGGGGGATGAAAAAAAAAATGCAGATGTAGCCTATAGATATAGAGGCAATGTATGCTGTGAAAAAAAGTATTTGCTCTCATCATTTTTAAATCAGTACATTTTATAATATACAAATGAATAAACAAGTCATACATTTGTCAAGTAATATTTCAGATACTATACAGATGGGGTAGCCTGATGTCATAGATATTAAAAAGATTACCCCCTCATCAAAAAAGAAAAAGCATATGCTGCAATCCACTACAACACAATTAGGAGTTACTTTAGTCAATATTTCCTAAATATAGCATTTTTTTTGTACTCAACTAAAAACTTAAGTGTCTTTAAAAAATGTACTACAGTAAGACAAAAAAAAAGATAATTTTAAGATACAGGAGTGTGATTTTACTCCAATCATTCCTGGGGGTTAAAATTTCAATTTCAATCAATGGCAAGAGGAGTACTTGTCATTCTATGATTTGAAAGTTATCCCAAATGTTGAGCAATTTAAAGTGTTTAATCATTTTAAAAAGGCTACGTTGCCAACATTAGCCGGTTTGTCATGCCAATGCTTTACTTAGATTTGGCAGACTTTTTTTTTAAGCTCATGGGAAGTCAGTCAACAACTTTTTTCATGTTTGACAGAGCACGTGCGAGTGGAATGCCGGTTTTTATCTATCTCAGCAGGCAGCCATTTTGATAGCCAAGTAGGACATTTTGTTCAAAAAAAAAAAAAAATCGACTTCGCTTTTAATAATTCCAACATACTGTCCATAACACTCGACGTGAATTGAGCTCCGTAAGACAAGTTGAGAGGTGACATGTCCAGAACACCATCTTTATTATGACAGGTAACAGTTTGGGAGGGGAAGGAAAGAAAAAAATAAAACTTCAGTAAAGTTTATTAATATTTTACCATCAATAGAGTCCTCACACAAAGCAAACAAGTGTGCACTGGAGCGTGTGCGGGGTCACGTCGGTCGTCCTGAAGTGCACTTTCACTATTTCAAAGTCACTGAAAGAACACGCAAGTTTTTTTTTCTTTTCCTGAAACGGTTGCGAGGGCTCTGTGTGTCTCATTATTTACACTCACTACACACTTTTCCTTTCCAAGAAATTGTCAATACTTAGTAAAATAGGCATCATATCCAGAATAGCAGGCTAAAAAAAACAAAAAACAAAAGCAGACAAAAGCAATATGGTCATTTTTCAGAGTGGCACCAAATTGAGAGGGGTCAGGGGTGGGAGACCAACAACGAAAATGCTGTTGGTTGTGTGATCAAAAATTGGGCTCACCTTGAGAACAGAATGCCGAACCAGACCAATGAGCAAATCTACTGAAATATACAACCTCAAACATGTCCAAAACTGAACATGTTGCAATTGGCCAAAATAAAAAAAGAAATAAAGGGTGGGTGGGTGGGCGGGGGACCTGAGCATGTGAGCGAGGGGTGGGGTTGGGGCTTCCTGTGTTCTCAGGACCTGCACACGCACTAGAGAGGAAGGCTGATGCACAAGTACCATGTTAAAGAGAAAACAACACACACACATCCGAAAAGCTAAAATGGTCTTTGGAGAAAGAGCGAGGTCAGGCCTCTCGTTCGTCCGTCCGTTTGTGTTTGTCCAAATACACAAAAAAGTCTGTTTGCATAGCCAGGCAGTGGGAAGGAGCATCTGAAAAAGGGGAGCCCGTGGCAGTGGTTGGTGAAGAAGCCTCGGTCCATGTGTGTGCGTGCCACTGGTCAGGTGACACTCCTCCCCAAATGAAAGCCCTGCACCCCCTCCCACCCGCTCACAAGGTGGCCTCCTTCTGCCGCTCGCGTCCGTTCGACGTCTTCTTGACTTTGGAAATGCCCTCCAGGGCGCCCGACTCCGTCACGCTGCACACAGGCAAAATCAAGTCAGTCTTTCCGAATATGAACTCGTTCTTTGCCGTTGATGGCTTTTGATGTTAAAGATCCATTTGGACTGGGTTGGGAGTTTGTAAGTTAAAGACACCTGCACAATGGCGTTACATCCCCATACAGACCGCCGCCAAGCCCTTTATTTGCCGTGCATTGCGAATGTATTCACACCGCTTCACTTTTTTTTTTTTGCATGCAGATTCTGTTACAGCCTAAATGCCAAATGGATCGTGTTTTTCTGTCAAATTTCTACACACGCCACCTCATAATGACCGCGTGAAAGTGGCCACTTCCGGTCCAAACTGATGAGTCTTGTGAGACGCCCAAAGAAGGAATCATCCAAATTGCCAGTAGATGACGCCGCCGTGCCATCAACGGACCAACACTGACCACGCACGAAAGGCTTGCGCTGCTCTCACGACATAGACAAACAGATTTCAGGGTAGACTAGAGCAGGCTAAAAAGAAAACGGACGGAGAGATGTGGCAGCCAAGTAATAGGAGAGAGTCCCTTCAAATGTAAGGGAAAACACGGACGTTAGCTTAGCATCTGCTGTAGTTTTGTTTCAAAGGAGCATTTTTTGACACATTTGTCGACCATACTATTTTTGCTATAGGATAGTTTTGGGGTTTTTTTGTAATTGTACAGCCCTTACCTGTGGAATCGAATCCTAACATAGGTGAAAAAAAAGGAAGCGCTAACACTGCGGTTCATGACCAGATGCACCCCATCCTCCGTCTCAAGCACCAGCAAGGTAAGTTTGGATAAACTTTTCAACATCCGAAACAGATGCCCGAGCCACCTCATTTTTTTTTAGCCTCGCTCTATGGGAGAGCCCCGACACCCAGCGGAGGAAACGCGTGTTCTTTCGGCCGGTCACAACCCGCAGCTCGTGATCAATTTAGAGTTGTTGCTCCTCGGCTTATATTAGACGCCATTAAGATTGTACACGTGCGTTTTGACAGTGGTGGTGACGCCGGCTTACATTTCATCCATCTCCTCGTCTTCTTCGTCCTGGGGCAACTGGAGGTAAGGATTGTTGGAGGCGGGCCGGAATTTGTAGCCCGTCATCACGAAGAAGACCAGAGTGGATACCTCCACCAGGAACTGAGGAAGGAGGATGAAGGCAAACGTTAAAAATACGACCATCACCATTTTCATTTGACCGCACTTGAATTTCAATGCTACCTCGTAGCACCACTGCCACTGGAAGGGCATGGTGACCTTGAGCAGGATGGCGATGATGCGGGTGAAGTAGATGTAACAAACAATCTGAAAGAGGAAGAAAATAAAATTAGGCACCCGGAGAGGAAAAAGACACACGCCGGAAACGATTTGAAGGCCAAATCCCACCATGACGTAGTAGTGACGGAAGAGCTTGAGCTTTTCCAAATTCATGGCGGCTGTGGAGGTCAAAGTCGAAGCCGTCATTCGCTTGACTGCAATTCACTTGACAGACTCATTTAATTGAATTAAAGACGCTCACCTTTTCCGTCCGTGCTCGAGGCCTCTTGGAGGTGACGGATGGACCTACAAAATAAATGTGCGGCATTTTCACGAGAGGGTTTTTAGTTTGACCCACTAAGTCTGAACAGTGATGTAGAAGGGTTCCCACTCTTCCACTTGCTTTTTATTTATGGACTTTTGAGGGCTAATTTAGCCAGTTTTAAAGAACTTTTTCTCCATTCAGCAGGGGATTCACGGTGGATTTAATGCCCGCTCAGCGATACGCGGGCTGAACAGAAAGCCACCTATCACCGAGCTGGTGTTCAAATCATTGTTGCCGAAGGAAGGGCACGTCTTTATTTTTAGGGGCAATCAGCTAACCCTTTATTTGACATACTGTATGTCAAATTTTCATTTTCCTACCTGTATTACAGGTAGGAAAATGAAAAAAAACTTGAATTCATTCTCAAATAAAGAAAAATTTAAATTTTGAAAATATAAAACTTCAATTTATTTTCGAATAAAATTTTTTTTAACAGATTTCCATTGATTTTAGAAGCTTTCCCTGAAAATTAAGAACATAATTTCACAACTTCTTTTTTTATGGATTTTTATGAACTTCAGGGACCCGTGGGAACCCTGCGTAGCAAGGCTCTGCTGTCGCATTGATTTCTTTGAAACGCAAGACGCCAGCGACTGACCAGACGACAGGGAACAGGATGGCGCCGCAGCAGATGAGGTCGACCAGGAAGAGGATCTCCTTCCACAGCGGGTACTCGCTGGAGCCTTCCTCTGTGGACTCGATGATGATGTAGGCCACGTTGGCCAGGCACTGCGCGTGTGTACGGACACACCAACGAGTCAACAACCAAAACGACTACAAAGGGGACTTTACGACGACGCAGTGATGAGTTTCACCTGCAGCGGGATGACAATCATGAAGATTTTCTTCTCCTTATCAGACAGGATGTACTTGACAAAAGCCCAGCCGGTGCCGATCAGGGCCAGCGTGATGAACAGCAGCGCCCCCTTGAGCCTGGGAAAGGTAGCGAGGAGAAAGCCGTGACGCGTCAACAAGACATTTGGACAAAAGCGGGAGAGGGAGACAGCGGGCTCACAGGTGAGTGATGTAATACATGACGGCCCAGCCTTCGATGGGGTGCCCCTCTGTGTTGATGAAGTGATAGTTGATCTGAAAGACAAAACCGAAGGTTGCAGGGGAAGAACTCGACGAAGGCCACCATGTACACACAATGGTAATCTCGGACCCAAATAGAGACAAGATGCATTAGTATACTATAAACTGCAGCATTCTCCTCCTCCTGGTTTTAATCCCCATTTGCACGCTATACCTCAACGTATCGACTGATGCTTGGTTTTAGTCATTTTAATAATTGATTGGGATTTTTGTCACATCTTCATGTTTTGAAGTGCTGTCTGTAGTGCTTTTGATGTTTTACCCTAAAGTAGTTTGAATCGTTTTGTACATGAATTGCGCAGCACAAATAAACTTACCTTGCCTAAAAATATGCAGCATTTGTCAAGTGGGGAGGGGGGGGAAAAAAACATCACTCTGTAATATGGAATCAAGTAAACTACAATGCCCAAACAACTGTTGGACCTTCCTTCTTCTGTATGGCCGTATAGTAATATTGAAATAAATACATTTGAAATAAACCTCGAAAGCTCATGTATGAAACTAATTGACATAGAAGAAAACTAACAACGGTATCGCTATAATTATAGTTTATCCAAGTTCGTTTTATAAACATTTCAATTTTTTTTTTTTTAAAAAGCAAGTTTACAATTTTTTTTTTCAAATTGTAAATATTTTGTTAGTTTCCATGAGCTAGAATAACCTTGAAATTCACAGAAAATTAGATCCCATAATCTTTTATTACTTAATACCAAAGTCATATCCAGTCCTGACTTTTTCAATGAATACCACCACTCATTTATGTGGGTATTTTTTGGGGGGCATGAAAATGGCCACAGGCAGTGCGCTCTGCGGTTTGGACTCACGCTGTGGAAAACTAGTGAGGTGGACTTGGTGAAGGCCAGCGCCGCCATCAGCCAGTGGATCTTAAACACGCTGTACCTGTCGACGCAACACAGCCAATGTTGGCGATCACCCCGGTGCAAACGTCAGGTGAGAGAACCGCCCGCAGTCACTTCCTGTACCTGTGCTTCATCAGCGTGTACACCCACGCCATGGCGGCGGCGAAGAAGACTCCGGCCATGCCGATGTAGAGGCGCGAGAGCGGGATTTCGGCCGCCGACAAGAAGCCTCCGGGGTTCTTCTCTGTCATCTCCAGCTGCGAATGAGGCGCCGAGGGTCAAGGGAGCGTGCGGGATGGCAATGGGTTTCACGAGAGGCGACTCAAAACTCACGGTGAAGGAGTACGGCCGGTTGATGCCGGGAGCCATGTTCTGGCAGTAGTAGAAGTTTAAGTTGTACAGGCCTTCGGCCAGCAGGCCCAAAAGGAGGTGAAACTGTGGAAGAGGAAGACGAGGAAGGGGAGGTGGTCAGGGCCAATCAAATGCAACGTCACCTGGTGATGTGTTGAAGGTGCTCTTACGTTGAAGGCGTACGTGTCATTAACTTTCTCCAAAGCTAGCGTCAGCTGTTTGGTGGACGCCAACTAAACGCAAACACGCGTTAAGAGCGTTTTTTGCAACCACGCCACGGACACACAAAGGAGTCATAAATCACCTGGAATTCAGTTGCCGTCTTTTCCGCCGTCTGATCTTCCTTCATCTGATTGACGGGCTCTGCATTTGTTTGCACCTTCGCCTCACCTGCTGTTTTCTCAGATATCTTATCACCGGCTTTCGTCTGCTCCGCCGGCTTAGCTGGAGTCCCAGCAGGAGCCTCTCGGCTGGACCGCTGACCTGAATCCCACAGAGATCCCACTTTGCAACTACTTGCACCCAGCAGTACATTTCTGTTTGCTTGAAGTCGTAAGCAGGTGAGCTTAAAGCCGACAAATAACACCCTTCGGTTTGTCGAGCAACCGTGGCAATAGGGCACTTAAAAAGCTGGCTCAAAACTGAATAGAAGACAAAGAAATACAGTGGAGTGCCTAAAACTCAAACATCAAAAAGTAGAACCTCAAATCGACTACTGTATTTTCCACACTAAAAGACGCACTGGATTATGAGGCTCACCTTCGATGAATGGCCTATTTTGTAATTGTTTTCATACGTTGGGCATTATAAGACGCAATCTACAATGCATCCACTAGATGGAGCTACGCTCAAGGAAACGCAAACAGAAATAACGATCAGATGTTGGTAAAATTTATTTAATAAAGCAGTGACACAGTTCACTTCACCAACAGCAAGTTCTAACATTGACTCATTAACGTTGAACTCTCTTGCCGCTGCTTCTTTTCCGTGTTCAACTGCGTAATAGATCACCTTAAATTTGAACTCTGCGTTGTCAGCATGTCTCGCGCAAGGAGCCATTTTGGGGGTCAAAATATTACCGTAATGACCATACGCAAGGCTCATCGGATTTTAATGTGCGCTGTGAACTTTTAAGAAAATGGAAGGCTTTTAGGTGCACCTTTTAGTGCAGAAAATATGGTAATCTAAAATGTAAGTGATGGTGAAAAAGGACACAGACCTTTCTCTTTGGTCTGCACATTGGCCTTCAGTTTGCCGGTCAAGACGTTGTCCTGATCTCCGAGGACACGCACTTTGACACTACACAAGCGAGAGCACGGACAACCTTAACAATCCGCTCACAATGACGCCCCGCACTCACGCCCGCGCCCACACCCACCTGAGACTGCCGATGTCAATGAGAAAGAGGATGAGGGGTTCATTGTTGGTTACTTTCGTGAGTGTGAGAGGGCACGACTCCGTCTCTTCAGCCTTTGAAATGAGGGGGTGGGGGGAGGATGTCAACAGATGAATCATCGTTAGATTATTACAGCTGTCTAATGACAACCATGCATGTCACGTTGCATAAAAGCTTTCTCCCAGGAAGAATGAGCAAAGTATTTCATAAAAACACACCACAAACCATTGATAATGCACCATACGGTGTGAGTGAATGGCTTTTTATAAATGGCATGTGAACAAAACAGCTGAGCGGTGATGTTCGCAACCTGAGCCCTTAGGGACTATGATGTCATTTTCAGTCGACAGCAAGGGACAGTTCAGGGTAAAACGGCTGCCCTGTTGAAATGGTCAAAACTGGGTCGATTTCTCTACTTAATTCATATTCCAAAAATGCATAATTCATCAGATGAACACATTTAGACCAGTGGGGGCACATAAAACATCCTGTTAAGACATTTTTGACTTGACTACTTCTTAAAGAACCCTGGTGCTCGTAGATTTGACTGTCACAGGTAATGAGTTCTCTCGACTTTGAGGGGAGGAGGAGGGAAAGAGACACTGCAACCACGGATGCCTTTTTGTTCTGGTGATTAAGGTGCCTAATGCCAGCGGGTACTTGTTAGCCCCAAGAAAAAACACGAGGAGCCCACGGGTCTGTTCTAAAAACAGCTCACCAGTTCACAGGCAAAGACATTGCAACTTGCTCAGAATTAAAAACAGAAGAAGAATGCGAACATTTTTTATTTACTGAATCAAACTTCGGTTTTCTTGATGTACCAAATATTATATTTCAAAAAATAAAATAGATTTGTGTTCAATGGGGAAAAGAATGGTTTTTAGTTACCCACATATTTTAACGAAGGACATTTCAGAACTCTAATTTGAATACGCAATATTTTTGCTCAGAGGTTGTCAGACCGTCCGATTCGAGTATTGACCCATGCCCAGCGTGATCCTTTCCTTTTTCATAAGCACTGTACAACTGTCCTTTCAAACTGAATACGCAAATATTTTTGTGGAATAGTCTTTTTCACACTGCCACATGAAACCGACATGTTAACTGTACAATACAAAATTGAGCTATTGCTGTTCCATTGACCACAGGATTAATTTGTCCCTAAATGACCTTGCAAAATTAAGTGGGGGGGGGGGTCCTTTTTCATCCAGTACCAATCAGATGAAAATGATGCGATGGGATCGGGGTACTCACCGTGTACGACAAAACTCCACTAACATGGGCCCTGGAGAAGCTGAACCCGACCTGAAATAAAAGCGAGAGAGAATGTGTTGTGAATCAAATGATGAAGACCGAGAGCACATGTGATTCATTTTCTCCCAATGCAAGAGAACATGTTGAACAAAATAGCCTTCCTTTGCAACTGTTGTTGAAGACAGCTCAACGTAAAGCTTCTTACCGGGTACGCGCTGTAGTTGACCAGCTGCTGCGGGAGGCGCAGCGAGTGGAGGTTCACATCCAGAGTGCCGTTAGCATAAAAGCCAAAAGTGTTGAGGTGGACGAAAAAACGAGTTTCATTCTGGCAATACACACACACACACACACACACACACACACACACACACACAATAAAATCACTTGTGACACACAAACAACTCCATGTCAGTCATTTTGTGTGTGCTCACTCTGGCTGGCGGAGAGGAAAAAAAAAAGTCAACCACAAAAATATGTCAACACAAAATTTTTGATCTCAAGTTTGCCCAGTACCATGTATGTTCCAGCATTTCAAATCTACAAACAACTGCACGTCTCTTTTAAGCTATTACGAATGACCCCACACAGTCCCCATCTTTCTAAACTCTTGTTCGACTAAATATAACTTTTAAAATGCAAAATGTAGAATAAATACTGAGCTGCTGACTATAGGCTGCGTTAATCAATTCATTTGGCTGTACATAGACGAAGATGCCGCACTCACGATTAAGGAATGGGGAACTTGGGGGTGATGAGCCGTCTAATGTTCATAGTTTCCATATTTGTAAATCATCCACCCACCCACCCCAAAAAAATTACATTTTATGACTGGGCTGTCTTAAAAGCAATAAAAATAGAAAGAAACGGCGCAAAATCGTGAGGTAAAACTGTAATAGACGAGGGTATGGTCACAAATGAAAATCTGCAATAGATTTAAGTCCGTAATAAGCAAACAGTGAAGTTGCGAGGGAACACTGTACATATAAAAAATAAATAAATACCACATTTTTAAATAAATAAGTTCGTTCATATATCAGGGTGTGTTCGCCGGCGTGTCATATGAATGTTCTATTATTAAAACAAACAGTTTTAGCTGAATAAAGCGAATTCGGCGGCTAAGCAACTCTGAAGGCGTGTTAACTACCCGAGCTAACGCGGCTGTGTTTCGCCGCCGTTTGCTGACTTACCTTCAGGGTGAGTTTGTGTATTCTTGCCTTACTACCGTCCAGAAGAAAGACGAGTAGTAATGCAGCCACGACACCAGCTCGGTGCGCTCCGGCCATATTTCCGCAGAAAGAGGAGCGACGCTACGAGCAAAAACGATGGACGGAGCGGCTGGCAGCCCCCCGGTTGCTAGCGGTCTCACAACAACACACCCGGGGCAATGTAGACCGATGGTTGCTGTCGAAATTAGAATCGAATCGCTTCGTGTTGTCAAACAAGCACCTATGGACTGATTTGCTGTGCTTTCATCGCGTCGACAAAGCAACGGCAACGTACGGCTGCTAGCATTTAGCAATTAGCTCATCTTGCTTCCTGGTGTTTGACTCACTATGCCAAACATTCAACAAGAAACGGGCGGCGACGTCATCAGTTCTCGTCACGTTTGACACGACGAAGCGACAAAACAAAACTGTGCTGTTAAATTGTCGACTGTGTATTTAATACACGTTTTTTCTTTCCTGAGAGACGATTGGTTTTTCTACTTGAAACGAAGGAATTTGATCCAGTCGGACCAGTATTTGTCATGTGACTCGCAGTGTTGACGACAGCAACTTCCGGCTCCACGTACCCTCGTTGCGATGGTTAATGACGTCACATAAGGATAACGAGTCTGACACGTGGAACCTACCCTATACGTCGCTCGCACGTGAAGTCACTTCCGCTATTGATTTTGTTACTTTTCATGAACCTTCTTGGGTGCACACCATTTGACATGTTGTATTTGTTTGCATAACATGCTCGGTTCCTCTTAAAATGATGCACCGTTGCTGTGTTATTGAGTGTTATTACAGTATATTACTTAGAGAGGAAAAAAGACCATATGCTCCAGGGCCTTGGAGACAGAAGAAAGGTCGAAAACACAACAACCTAAGTGGCTGACACACATATCTCATGCAGACCTCCATGAGCAATCCATTGTTTGGGCTCATGTGTGCAGCAATCACTTTCTGAGCGCTAAATTTGTTCACCTTTGAAACTGAAATGATATAAGAGACTATGACCACAGAAAATATATGTCTTATTAAATAAGACAAAACTGCAACCCGCTTATGTTTTGGATTCATGAGCAAGCTAGCTAGCTAGTACAACCTAGCTCGTCCAAGAGATGCGTTGGTGGAGGGAGACATTTAAAACTTGCAGGATAGGGACCCTCGAGGACCGGAGTTGGTGACCCCTGGTATAGAAAGTCACTTAAATCTTCCTCCCTCACCCCAGGAAAGGCTGGTCACACAAGTGCAACATTTTTTTTTTCTGTACGCATGCCACTGAGAAATTAGGTTCCCTAGACGCTCAAAATAGTCTCGAGTGATGGTTTTTAATATGGCCGCCTCATCAAATACAAAAAAAGTGGAAACAGAAAGGTGATTATCATCCAAACATCAAAACGAATGTTATATGAGTGGAAGAACTCACTTCTGTTAATTGAAGTCCAATTTGGTCATCAGTTTCTAAGAGGGGCTATTACGTGACCAGGGGGGCACTAACGAAAAGAGTCATATTGACAGAGTAGGTTTCAATTTTAATGATGTATCATTTCACAAGCTGATAATTATTGAACAATTATTTCAAATTGCGATATGGAATGGGGTTAACAATTTACGCTCATTGAAGAAGTGTACTGTATCGGAGTAATATTTTGACCTTCCCATATAATAAATGTAATCCAATTATACAGTACTTTAAATACCTCTCTTATTAGATCGTGTTTATCTATTGATCATTTTGGGAATTGGAATTTTCACACACAGGCTACTCTGGAGTTGCACGTCTTCTTGCCCAGTGTGCTGCTGCACTCGACACCATTATTCTTGACCCTCCCTTCCTTCCTCCCCCGATATACCAACAGAGAACGCCCATGGTGCCTTTGAGAGGCTAAAGCAAAGGAATTGCCTGATCATCAGCTTCACACACACACACACACACACACACACACACACACACACACACACACACACACACACACAGTCCCATAAAAGCCCGAAGTCCTCCAAAGTCTCACAGTAAGGTGTTGCTGCCTGCCAGGGTTACTGTATTTACGCTAATTATAGTTAGATGCTGTATTCCTGCAGCTGCCGCTTGAAAGACATCACCGGAGATACAGAAGTACATGAAAGATGTGTGCCCTAAGGTCGCTCAAGGTCACTCTGCTGCTTCACTTGTTTTGCTCAGGTAAGTGACATCAATAGGGGGGCTGGGACTCTGGGATGGCTACCATGAACAAAAACTGAAGATGTGAGAAGTCCAAAACTACAGAGAATGTATTGATTTGGATGTAAAAAGTAGAATACACTGAAAGACATTCACTAAGAAAACCACAGCATGCAAAGGAAATTACTGTAGTGTACAGTTGGGTAAATAAGGGGGCGATTTCAAATTGTACAAGAGTTTTTTTTTTGTAAATTGGTAATTTATCGATTCAAATAAATGTATTGAAATATTTACAGCATCTCTAGAGACATTACAGGACAAAATTCTTGAAAACTGTTTACAATGTATTTTCAGAACAATTATAAATTAGAATAGAACATTTGCACGACTTATTGTACTTGACTGATTTTTTTTCAATAATACAGTATATCTTTGTATTTTTAAACAATGATAACATCACAATGGATGTGAGGTTGAGGACCCAAATGTAGGGAAGTAGGGAGGCGAGGAGCACTAAGTTCCAAGTACTGAAACAAACAGACGAGCTAAAAGTCCCACTGAGAATTACAGACATCTTTTATTTGCAGTTATTACCTCAAAAGGTTGTATAAGAAAACATTAAGAATGGATCCTTGTGGGCCTTTCTTGCCATGAGAAACTTTTTGTCCACGTCCGTAGTGCCAGCCAACTGTTTTGTGCACAGCAGCACCTGAACAAATTATCGAGAGGATGTTTGTGGTGTGGAAAAGAGAAAAATGTTATTTGAGTCCCCGCAAAGTTTCTCGCCTGATTTATGTTTCCCAGAACCATAGGAAAACTGGAGGCACAAACAAAATCTCATACACAAGCAGAATCATCAGCATGAGGAGGGAGGAGAAGGCGCTCGGGGTCCAGTGGAACAATGGTAGTAGAAGAGAGGAGCCAGTTCTTTGGAGTTGGGCAGGGTGTCCTTCCTTCCTTAGAGGAACACATTGGGTGTATTCAGCCTGCAATAAAACAATGGCACACAATAGATCATCTAAAAAGAGTCCGATTTCACGAGATGGCAAAATTCAATTGACCTTTGTCTGCCTTGCGGAACAGTGACTCATATGTTGATTTTCAGCCACAATAGAAAACGAATTAGGCACGGGATTTTATTTCACTTTGAAACAAATGAGTACAGAAATGAAATGGCAACATACTGTCTCAGCTCCTCGTACGTGATAAAGAATAGAAGACTGTCAGGATGGTTACATGGTCTTGCGTGTTGCTGCACCTTTTGTGTTTAAATAGCCTTTGCTTAAAGCAGCTTAAAGCAACTGCTGTCCGATATCCTGGGACCCACATCTTCCTGTTTGTGAAAAGTCGCCACCTACTTCTATAAAATATGAACAAAAAAAGCTTTTTTGTTTGTTTAAAAATACATGTACAGCAAGTTATATTTTTCATTGTGGTTTCGAATGAATTTGACTATCCCGCCAGTAGCATATGGGTAGCTATGATACATGCTAGCCAAAGGTGGCGTTGTGCTGTTTTTTTTTTTTTTTACAGCGTAAGATAGTGGCTAACGCACGAGTAATATTTCCTATCGTTCACATAATATGTTTCATGTGGTTGGTAGATCTACTTTTCAGTCCCGACATATCAGTGGCTAAGTTTCCTGCCATCATATAGCTATCGAATCCAAAGTGTGCGCTTGCAAGTCCAAAAAACAAAATAACAACCCAGAAAAGATGCTTTGTATCATGAAAAATGCACAAGTCGTGTCACTCGCACGTCAAGGCACCACTGAACTTCCTCATTATTTTTCTTGTCCTTGTTCGACCTTCCCCCCTCTGACAGCTACCTCATCTCCTCTTTCCCTGCCGCCCTCCCAAATCTCTCCTCCCTTTCCCACAATGCTGCCCTCCTGGCCGTCCCCCTCGCTCAGCATCCCTCCAGTCGGCGGAGACCAGGAGGATTTGGTGGAAAGAGCCCGCTGCCCTCTCACCCTGTCCCCTTCCAGCCTGGTGGTCAGGTAGAGCCCGACTCCCAATTCTACACAATATTCACGGTAAACCAGGGGCCCAAAAGATCAATAATGAGTTTCCTTTAGGTTTGGAGATCCATTCCAAGTCAACTGCTCTGTGCCGATGAAGGGCTTTTCTCTGCTAGGATGGGAGGTCACACTGGTGAGAGCCATCAGCATTTCATCATGACCTATGCTGCAATTGGTAGTTGAACAGTTTTACGGACGTGCCTGATGGTATTCTAGGTGGCTCCAGAACCCACCATGAATAGCTTTCTGGTGTGGAGAGTGGAGCACATGACAGAGTGGGCTATTTCCCCCAGTTGCTATGCGGTGTCAGACATGGAAGGACCCTGTCATCTTCATCTCCCGGTCCTTGTTTACAGTAAGTTCAAATCAAAATCCTTCAAATGTACAGTACAAACATTAGACAAAATGGCTGCCACGTACCTAACCAATTTCCATGCAAACTTTGTTTATACAACCTACTGGGTGATACTCTTCTGCTCCAGCCCAACGGGGAAGTGGTTCTGAAACTTTATGGGGTCTTGGGCCCCCTACATATTAAACTACCAGAAGAAGAAGAGTCGTCACAAAAACCAAAAACATTGTTGTTGCAAACTCTTCTCCTTTACGTTCTACAAACACTCAACACAACCATTCGCTGGAATTAGCCGGGCAAGCTATCGTTCTGCTTCGTATTCCAATCATGACCCCACATGGCACGTAAGGATTGGCCAGCGGAACTGTTCAACAGGTTTAATATTTATGACTATCGGTCCAAATGGTGGTCTAAACAGATTGGAGATGAAAATTCAGTTTTTAACACATGACACACCATAATCACTCAGGATAATATTTCAGAGTCAATTGATCATCAAACCTTATCTGATTTTAACCCTTTCAGGGACAGCGGTTACTACAGTGGACAGCGTATCATGTTATCAGGTTACAGGGTGCATGAAAGGGCAGGCGATGGGGAAAGGTGGACAACGAGACCTTGTGTGAGGTCCGGGGTCAAACCGTTCAGACCGACTCTTCCATCTTTTGCTCCTGCTTTGCGCAGAGGCTCCAGACAGCGTGTCCCTCAGCTTCGTGAATCACACGGGCTCATTGTTGGAGCATCACCAGTATACTCTGTGGTGCACCGTCCACAACGTCGCCCCCGCTGGGAACCTCCTGGTGACCTTCTACAGAGGCCAAACCCAACTGGTTCAACGACATTCAAATGTGACGGAGAAGACACCGGTGACTGAGGTCTTCACGCTCGACATTGTGCCCAGAAGAGAGGACGATGGCAACGACTACTGGTGTGAGGCTGAGCTGCAACTGCACCCAACGGGGACACAGCAGCGTGTGGCGGTTGCATCGGAAAAAGTGACTACTACTGTCCTCTGTAAGTAAAACATAAAATATTTCGATACCAGCAATGAGGGTCAAAAGTCAAGACATAATACCACACATAGACATTCATTCGTTTTCATTGTCTAAATAAGGACACCACTTCTGCCACCATTTTCCATCAAACGTTTTGGAGCTTCAATCTATGTTGAGTTACCAACGTGGTCTCCAATTACATGTGTGACACCTGGGCCCACCACTATTTTTATAAAATTTCCCTTTCATCCGTTGCGCTAGATTGTTGACCCAATGCATTTAAAGTCCTCCAAACTCATTCTCTTTTCTCCCTGAGGCCTCACTCTTCCTCATCCAGTCTCTCGTTCACACACATAAATTTAGTTTTAATTCTGCTAATCCTCTCCTTTTCACCTTTCTAAATGTTCCCTCACCCGCTCTCACGTCATCTGCAAACCTCATCCATGGGTGATTTAAAACCCTGGAGAACCCACGGGGTCAAATTTGGCCCCTATAAATTCTGCTCCTCAAAAGCTAGCCTTAAATCCCAAAGGGTCAAATTTGGCCCTAATCGTAAATTAGGATTAAAGCATTAAATATTTGAAAAAAACAATTTGGTGTTCAGTGAACATATAGCAGTCATTTAATGTATAATTCATCATTTTCCAAAGAAGAAAAGGGTTCTTGGGTTCTCCAGGGTTAAGTCTAAGATCATCTGTCAGTCTATCCATCACTACAGTATTGAAAAGAGGAAGGGGCCTAGAGTTGAACCCTGATGCACCTTAAACCCCTCTATCACACCCTACAGCACAGCTCACCACTATCCTGCTGCACTCATACATGACCTCCAGTATTCTAACACCACCAACTCCAGATTACCTTTCCTTTGTACTGGGGGACAGATGAGAAAGCAACATACAAAATTAAATTATGGTGCAAGTAATGTAATGATAAAAGTAATGAAGGTGGGTTACAACTGGATTTTTGTTGGACAGTAATTAAAGTCAATACACTGACAAAGTAAAAGATTGACTCACTATTTATTTTGAACATGTTCATACGTTCACTTGTAGCTAGGGAGAATTTAAACAACTTGGGCCATGGCCAGGAAACAGCAGGTCAAGCCAGAGCCACAGTAATAAATCCAATAGCAACTGAAACAAAAAAGGAAAAAATTCCTGTTCCCGTTTTGCAGAATTGTGATTGACAAGCGCTCTCCTCCTCACAGTTGGCCCGCAACTGCTTTGTCCTGCAAAGCTTCAAGTCAAGATGGGCGAAAGCCTGCGCTGCGAGGTCCGAGGAAACCCCGAACCATCGGTCATCTGGCTCAAAGACGGCCGCCTGGTGACCCCACCCGCCCACTCGACGAGAGCACATGCGGGAAAATACACCGTGTTGGCCACGGGACTCTTTGGAGAGAGGAATGTGACAGTGGAGGTGGAGGTGGTCACTTGCAGAGGTATACTTGTTTACAGTACTTTACAATTGAGCATCACAAGTATTTAATATGTCAATGTCTTCCCTTCATAGGCACCACAAGCACGCCTAGAAGGCACTTCCTGCTGACAGCTCTGCTTGGACTGACCTTGAACTTGCTGTAAACCTTAACAATAACCCAATGGGGTTTGTGATTCAAGTCTCACTGCTGTTAAGACATTTCTTCTACTGAGAGGAACATTTGTCAGGGAGTTTTGTTTTCTCGTTTGGTCTCGTGTTCACATTGGGGTCTTTTATTGTCATTATAGCTCATACGATTTTTTTTTCTCCTAACTCTCGCTCCAGAGAACTTCTGTTCAGGTACTTCTACTACCCCAAAATTTCACTAGTCAAGTACTAAAAGTTAATTCATGTGTAAAAAAAATATGTCAAACTGTCAATCAATGTTTTGCTTCATGCTTTAAACTTACTCTTATGCATCCACAAGAATGCTTCGTAGCTGCGAGTGTTATGAGACACTTTAGATTTGACGAAAGACCAGTTACCATTTCTGAAAAGTTAGTTTTATATAATTAGAAAGAAAAAAAAATCTACATGTACATATGCGGATTCAACATATTTTTTATTCAATGTTTTTTTAAAAAAAAAAGCAGTATTTTCAACAAAAGGCTTTCAACTTTTTTTTAAGCTATGTCAAGGCTGTCAATGTTTGACTGCAGCTACCCGACCATCTCCATGGAAACACTCTTGGGGGAGGGGGGGCGTTAGTGACATCTAACATGAGCCGTTGAAAGAATATCTTGACTTACTTCATCCAAGCAAGACATGGAAAAGTTCAAACATTGACATCATCAGAGCCCATCCGTAGATCTGGGCCACAATCTGCAGGAGCACCCGTTGAGTCTTGCAGCACTTTTGGCAGGACCACGTGACACAGCAGGCCTGCTTCTGGAAAGGTGACTGGGCTGCACTGAGGAGGCGGTGGAGGCGGAAGCGGAGAGCCACCACTTGCCGCGCTCAAGCTCCATCGATGAAGAGAACTTTCGTATTTGGCGATAGCGGCCGCAAACACCTCATGGGGGGGTACCAGTGGGCCCAAGTGAGCCCGAGACTGGTCAGTGAGGATCACTGGTGGTTCATCACTGGGAGTTGGTGAAGAGTCTGAATCCAAGATAATCACGTCGGGATCCTCCATGGTCACGTAAGATGCATTTGAAGCTTCAACCACTGAATTTGCCTCACGAGCGTGTTCGACTTTGAGTGGCAGCGGTCCTATGTTTTGATCCAACACTGGTGGAGCAATGAATGACAGCTGCTTCTTTTCTGATCTGGATCTCTTTGTTCTGTTCACATATAAGGCAGAGTTTCATTGCGTGCTTTGACGGACGCTCTCAGAATTAGGGCCTGAATAAATCATCGGTTGTCTGACAGTTGTTTGTTTGAAATCGTCTTTCTTAAATCTATGACAAAATGAGGTGAACATTCCCACCATCCCCACAAAAAAAGACTCTGTTGTAAAGTTAAACAATTACTTAAAAGTGTACTGCGAGTATTATAAGGTTGCTTAAATACAACCAATGTAACCAAAAACACATTTGGATGCACTTTTTCTTGTATTTTTTTTCTTCTGACCAACACAGTCCACTCTGAGGACCAAGTGTGGCAAGGCTGCCTGTAATTCATTTATCATTGTCGTCGCAAGCATTAAGGGACCCCAAAAGAAGTTATTTAATTCATTATATTTTGTTTTCAATCACCGTAAAACCCAGTGAAAAACACTGTGTATTATAGGCTCCCCTCAAATCATGCAGTTTTGTTCTTTGTACTTGCGTAAAATACCCCACTTTTTTTTCCAGAAAAAAAAAAAGAGCATTTCCACAATTTTACAAGAATCGACCGATTAATAGATTATCAGAATTATATTCTGCCTAAAAAAAAAAAAAAAAATCCATAACTCTCAGGCCCAAGTCAGCATGACTGGACAGTTCAGGTACTCACGGAAACGTCAGCCGGAGGCCCAATATCTTCCTGCTCTCACTAAGCAGCACCCTGAGGGTACAGGCATCCTTAAATGCAACCAAGTAGACTCGATTGATGAATCCAAGAGAGCAGCGGCACTCATCTCATACCTGGACGGCATCCAGCCTTTGGGCCAGAGAGGCTTGATGTCCTTGACCAATACGGCCTTGAGGCACTCCTCCAGTTGCTGCCTCCCTTCACTCCTCTCTTCAAATACTGCAAGTTTTTCTCTCAGCACGTGACGCAGCAACTCCCTGTCGGCAGAATACAAGTTGACTTGATTAATTTTTGAACAGGTGTGCAGCACGTCCATTTTTATTAAATAGACATTTCCTTCATTCGCATACAGTTTCGGAGCACTGTGTTCACGTGTACCGTCAAATCACATTTTGCCTGATATCAATCAGTGTTGTCATTTCTCGATATCAGCTTCTTTTTGTGCCCAACAGATTAACCATTCATAACTTTGCTGCTGTGAATTGGGAATTTCTCCATTGCGAGACTAATAAAGGTTTTCTTATCTTATCTTATATTTATTTCATCACCTGATCTCCTCATTCCATTTGAACAACTTCTTTGGACCGCCTCCTCTTTTTGCCCCCTTCTCTTCCATATTGTTCCCGATGCCACCATGCCTGACGTCACTCCCATCCTCCATCATCCTGAAAACCAACATAACCATATTGTGCGTCAGCAGTACTAACAACAATTGGTGAATTAAACAAGAGGGATTTTTCGAACAGCGGTCACCTCAGGGTCTTAACTTGCTCATATTCTTGACAATGTTGGTTGAAACATGTAATCTGCTCGGGCATGGCTCGCCCGATGGCCTCCTTCAACTTCTGCATGGGATCCCCCATGTTTGAAAGGCCTTCCTTGGTGCCGGAAGAACAAAAAAAAAAAAAAAAAGACTCTTTTTTAAGAAAAAAAA